AATCGTAAATGTTTTGGTGCTCTCCTACCCACAGACCTCCAACAACAGGGCCCTAGTGAGCATCATGACCCGCCACCAAATGTCTTCTTCATTGAGCGGGTGAGGCTCTCTCGTTGCTTTCTGTTCAAGTGTCCCACACACCACCCTTAGACTTTCTCCATTGCAAGTCAGGATAAAAACCTCGAGGGCTGGCTCCTTGGTGAGAACCCCATCTACTTCGTCTAATCCATTCACTTTATCCAAAAGGGCAGAGCTGTATCGTCGATACCGCTGAGAGAGGTAACGGTGGACAATTTCCAGAGTTATAGCCACAATCGAGCTCTTGAAACTCCGTGGGTGTGAGGTCAAAAGAAGCAGGAGCCAGGAGGACATCTTCGAGCGTGTTATCGAAAGCACTTGAATTGGCGGGAGACGGCGCCTCATGAGTTGTTGTACTGGGGTGACAATGGGAGGTGGATACCCATCCGGAAACGGAGCATAAGAGAATTGAACTGAAGCGTTCAACAGCTCTTGGAGCTATAAATGTATCAGTGAAGGACGTGCACGAGGACTTGAGCACAACACTCACGAGCCAAGTAGGCATGGGATACCTCTGGCGTTAGCCCTACAGCATGTAGGGGTTATCGCACTGATATAAGCGCCGCCAGTTAGCTAGATCTATTGTTTCAAAGACGGAATATTTGATACGGCAAACAGCTCACTGTCGCTGTGAATAACTCATGAAGGTGGGTAGTATCCCTCTCGCCAGGGGCAATCAGCCACCCAAGTTGCGTAAGCCGACCAGTCCAAGGCTGGGCCTCCTGGAAGGATCTTTCGCACTACAAATAAATACAGTGAGATTAAATCTTTGCATTCAAGAAGGAAAACTCACGTAGATAGGTGATACTTGGTTGTTATTAGCGAGGTACCCTACGACAACATACGATCCTGTAGTAATGGAGACAAACGGATGCTGAGGGAAAAAAAAGGTAAAACAAAACCATGGTTGACGGACGGTGACAAACCTCCTCATGCTAGAGGAGAAGGTCGTCACATCAGCGGATCCACTGTACAAAGTCTTGTACTTACAGCAAGCTGAACAAGCTGAAGAATTTCACCCACAGCGGGTACGTATAACCATACTGGAGACATTGATTGGCCTGCGAGTACCAGGATGGGGTAGGTAGGGAGGGAATTGATGGCAACAAACAATATTAATAAAGGCTGGTTATAAAGTAGCAAAGCCTGCCAGACATTAGCAAACGTCAAACGTCAGAGATGATACAACCACTTGCTACTGATCTGGCGGACATTACTTCTCATTATCGCTAGTTGGTGGCCATTTGTGCTGGCTGCTGATCCCTGACTGATGGCCATCAATAATTGCTGGCGATCTTGATTCAATCGATGGCCATCAATAATTTCCGGCCATATTATGTATTAGACATTCTAAACCATGGAGTTGTGCCCAAAGAATTACTAGGATTCTATTGCTGTAATACAATATCAATTTTCATAATCAAAAGCATGGCTCATGAACATATCGTCTAGTGCCTCCGCGAGGGACTCCGTGCTTGTGTTTCTTCCTTGTTCAAAGAAATTCAATTCCTTGATGCCAATGTCATGACCCTCTTCGTCGTGCTCATCCTGTTCGTCGTCGCTTGGATGGGCTATTTCCGTGAAGTTTTCTTCGCCTTCAAAATCTTCATCTTCCATATAGGGAGTTGTCTGAGAGGCAGGTTGCCGTGCCAAGCTATGGCCGTCTAAGATCCCTACCCTATGTGAGTATACATGGCCTACCCTGAGGCCATAATGGAACCTCATGAGTGTGTCACGATCAGCGAAGCTGGTAGAGTTATGATGATGATATAGATATGACCCGTATGGATAGGATTGCTCACCTGTTAACGTAGTATTCTAGCCAGTCATGTTTATCTCCAGAAAGGGGAGAAACCCCACAGTTCAAATTGCGCCGGCCTCACGAAAAAACCGGAATTATATGGCAGGCCCTCAGAACCGCTCCTGGATCCACAAAGCCAAAAGTGTTTGGATTTGTCAAAGGTAGGAAGTGAACTCGTCCCAAAGCATGTGTTTCCCATGAATGGTTTTGTATAAGTTCATACCACCGGATGAATAGAAAGTTTATTCGGCAGGACTCATACACGTTACTTGAGTGCACAGCATTGATATGGTGGATACCGAGAACCCTCGCATAACGATATTTGTCATGGGCCCCATCATCATGCTGTAGCAGCATGATGTTACAATGGGGGGTCCTGGGGTTTATCACGTCTTGAGCCCTTTGAATGTCGTACATTGTATAATTAAACCTGACGAGGTTGTGGTGGTAGATCCTGTTGTGCTTGAAGAGAATTGAACTGTGTTCCTGGTCGGGATGGGCAGAGTTTTCCACAGATTCAAGAGTCCCCATGCGGTCCAGGATATGATCTTTCAATCGTGGAAGGAAGTCCTGAGTCATATGTTAGAACGACAATGATTAAGCCCCCGAAAGTTACCTTCATGGCAGGATCCCCTGCATGACTGCGGAGATAATTTCCCAACTCGTCGAAATTCTTCTCACTTAGTCCAATATGATGGTGTAGCTGAGGGTCGATCACAGTTTCGTCAGCCTGCGTGTGAGGGGTCCGTGTTGTTTGCCATTGTTTGATATGCCGTAAGCGAATTTGACGGCATTCTATTTGAGTTAGCTGGTGTATGAAGTTTCTGTGATCAGTTTGGCGATATCTGCCTTTTGGCGTTCGGTGCTCTAGCTCTCCCTAATAGCAACTGAGCAGGGGAGCAGACAGGGAGCAAATCATAACTTACTGGCTCTGTACTATACGAGTCTGTTGTACCAAATTGACGAATGGAAGCAACATAATCGCCTAGCGCATGAAATTTGTACGTCCGAAAATTTAGCAACTTCTTCCTCCTCGATTGCCTTGGTGAACGTGGATCCTGCGACCATTCCAAATTTGGCTTATGTTTCCCTTTAGCATTACCCCCCGCCCTCTTTTGAGCCGCAGTCCCTTGCCCAACGCCATTCGCTATGCTGTCCTCCATGCGTCTAGTGACGTCCTTTGCCTGCTGACGAGACCTCGCATTGACCTCGTGGTCAAGTTCTTGTGTGTGGTATGCAGTGCATACCTTTGACTTGAAGTGACGGAATTTCTCACCGAGGTCAGTGGTTTGCTGGTCGAGAATCTCTAAGGTAAAGTCAGAATGCATACACAGTTTAGCGAGACCATGCCAATGCGCCATAGTGAAAAGGAGATCAAGAAGAATTTTGTTGTGGGCCTCAGGGAGGAGACCTTCGAAGACTGGAATAGAACACTTGTACAAAGTCAGTCCACGGACACATGAGAATTGTCTTTAAGGCGTACCTGTAAAAGATCCTCAAAGTTGCATGCTGCTGCCATGTTCGACATTTCAGAGGTGTTGGCAGAGAACCGCCTAATGGTTGCAGGACCAAACGGGGGAACCTGCCTGTACCTGTCAAAGATGGACATGAGTAACCCAGGCGTCATCAAAACACATTCGGCACCTCCTATCAAGTTCGTGCACCAAGTCCTTGTTCAATGCAGTCAGAATTCTCAGTAGATGAATTAGAAGCATGCGCCATATCCCAAGCTCAAACTCATGTAGGAGATCGACGACAAGTGCTGCAAACACATTGAATCCGAATGCACTAAGATTGTCGGACAGCACATTCTTATCACATATTAGTTCAGGCAATGAAAGAGACTGACGACTATGCTCACTGAATTCGGCACCCAGGAATCAGGTTTGAGAAGCGCCTCGACTGCCGTACTGTCAACACCGTAATTTTTCTCATAAATAAGGTTGCGTGCAGTAGCAATGGGCTGACTCCTCGAGATGTTGGACCGCACCAGTGTTAAACGTTGTTGCCGATCACGGCTCATCCCCAGATTTTGAAGCCATGCAGTTGGTATGAGACAACGCGGGCAAGGACAGCCTCCTAGCTGCCGAATGGTTGCAACAAGGACCCTGGTTTGGTCTGCTTAGATGTCTTATGGATAATGATCATGACTCACTTTTCAGGGTAATCCACAGAGTAGGTAAAGACTCACGGGTAAAACCTGCGTTTGATTCCGTCACAGCAGAGAATTACCATCCCATGCTCATACACCTCCAAAAACTCTTCATTGAGTAAGATATTCCATTGAGCTTGAAACAGTTCATGCTGGCAATGCATTGTACATTCACGGCCAATCCCCTTGCCATTGGTATAAGTCCCCACAAAATCTTTAAATGTGTCCGGAAGCTGCCAAGGTGTGAGCTTCCACGAGAAGGAAATTAATTCAGGAGGACATCGTACCTTTTGAAAATATGCAATATGGTTCCCCAAATGGCAGGATGGCCGACAGCGGCAGTATTTGGATTCATTTCCAAAATACATATACACTGGCCACAGCTTCGTGTTACCAAATGCTGTCAGTTGCGTGGCATCTGACCAAAACATCAATGCGACGACTACGTGGGGTAAATCACACCCCGGCTCTCCAGGAGACTCAAGGAGATCATGGTGGGTGTCCATAAAGGCTGGTGAGGTGTAAAGTTCGCCTTGAATGTCGACTTTGTGGGGAAGATGGGGAGCACTCCATCGCAGTTGGTAGGGTTCATAATGGAAAAGCTCATCATCCTGAGCATTTGCAAGCTTTTCTCGGATGATGGAGGTGAGAGATCGATGGTAAAGTTCAGCTGCGATGTAAGGTCGAGGGCCTGGCTGAGCTGGAGTTCGGGAAAAAGGTACTTCGATGCTGACTTGCGTTTTGTGCTAACCGGCATCCTCATCCTCCCATTCCTCCTCCTCGCCATCGTAAACACTTGCACCTAGCTGTGAGTCAATTCTGCTCCATGGCGTACTCTGGACGTCATCAGGATCAAAATCCGGATCGCCGACGATATCAATATGTTCCTTGAAACTCTGCCGGGACTTCTGTGTGCCTCCATGCCAGTACCAATGGCCCAGCTCAAAGGAGGATCAATTGGGGTAAGGGGAAAACGAAATGTCGTTAGGCTCTGCGAGGGCATCTGGCTCAGTTGAGGCTATAGTCGGGACGGAACTAATATCTTGGAGTGTTACAGCTTCTTCTGGATCGTGAGAAGGGGGGGGTGGATGAAAAGAACTGGCGTATCAGCCCGAATACATTTCTAGCAGTATGGAAAGGGGGAACTTGCGAAGATGCACAAGCACTGGTAGATGCACAAGCACTGGTAGATGCGTCCGTTGGATTGGCTGGTGCGTCAGGCTCTGGTGCTAGAGCAGTATATCCGGAGGGAAGGCTTGGGGGAGCTTGTGGAAGCACATCCTCGTATTGCCTATAACGGAGTGGCAATGAGACGTCGATGTGTCGACTCCTCCGCTGCGCCAGTGACAAGCCTTGTTCCGTGTCTATCTCAATAGGTGAGGCACCAAGATTGGTGTTTGATGATAATGTGTGTGCATTTTCTTGCAGCAGGTCAGCAGATGGGAAAGAGCCCTTTGGAAGGTGGGCCTGCACGCTCGACGGCACCGTGCCAGGGCCAGGAATCTGTCTACCGAGGTTGTGGTTAACTCGTGACCATTTCGCAGAGCCTAGAAGATGCTTCGCTTTGGATAAAGCGGAGAACAATCGTTTCTTGCCCTTAGTGCAAGAGCCTTGATGCTTTGTATAGGCACTCTCCTGCGTGAACTCACGAGTACAGGTGCATCTGAAAGGGGTTGGAGTCGGCAATGAACCTGCACAATCCATGAGGGGAAACTGAAGGTGTAAGAATGCGGTTGAGTCCAATGTTGAAGGACAGGTGGAAAGACTGATGACTTTGATAGCATAACATAATATAGAGGGCACTAGTGATGGCCAGCCCCGATGGCGATCACATCATAGTCTAGATTCCCACAGGCCAAAACCTCTGGCAGCAGGCTAAAGGTGGGGACATTTCATGGTGACAAGATAAGCTGGGCAGATCATAATATTACTACATGTCGCAGTCTGATAAGAGCAGAGTAGATACCGCGTATTTGCTCCACCGGACCATACAATGGAAGCCCCATCTTCACCTTCATCTACCATCACTGCCCCACCTGACTATCACGAAACCACTTGGAGGTTAGCTAAATTGATTGCAGAGGCTATGACCTGCCGCTTTGCCCTCCTACACTATGACAGCGCCTCAAAATCCATGGTCGAATGGTGGTGGTGAGACATACCCATATTCTATGCAAATTTTGAGTTATGATGCTGCTCCACAAAAACACAGGCCTATTGACGGTGATGGAAAGAAGATTTTGCCATTCAACCTAGAGATCCACCGCGAAGAATATAAATTGAAATACCCATGCTGTCTATGCGCTGATGGTAGTGGCAGGAGTGTGTACATAGAGTGTGCGGTGTACTCGTGGTGGAATGAGGACACTGAGCAGTTTGATTGGACTGCAAGGTGCGCATCTGATGAATGTGGTTATCGAGGTTAGCATTCTTCACATTCAAGAGGATCACAACTGAAGAGTCAACATTGCCTAGTAAAAATCAACACGTACTTCAGGCTGCCGACTATATCCACCTTCCAGTATCCTCGAAGAGGTATGAGCGCTCGTCCTTCCTTTGCTGCAGTACTGGGTCTGAAATTATGGATGATGAAGAACAGCGAGTCTTGCCTATTCAGCTAGAGTGGACCTACAAGGAACAAAGTGAATTACTGAACAGACTCGATTCCTGTGTTGGAAATGGTATTACCAGCAGGGAGTTCCAAATTTTGTTTAGCCAATGCAAAACATGCAAGCGAGTCGGGGTGAGGTCAGTGATGAAGCGCCACATCTGTTTGGGAGGAGTGAAAAAGCGAGAAGGTCGACTTGCATGATCATTATTGCTCAGTATTCAGTATTAGCTTAGTTTACATTCTATACTAGGATCTACATAATGCCATCTACTTATTGATATCACCGCGTGAAACCATAGATTGCAAATTGAGAGCACCAGCAACCCATATGCATTGTTTCACATGTTGATGCATTATGCCATCATGGTGCACAGCGCTCAGCGGCCTCAGGCTGTAAATTCAACGTTCAGCGTTCAATGCCTGACATGTCACTGCAGCTGAATATATGCGATGCACGTGATCCACATCATTACTAATACTATTTCAAAGGCTTCATTCAGAACTTCGGATGCAGCAGCCATTTCTGATGGCCATCATTTTTCTTTTGATGGCCATCGTTCTTTTGGTGGCCATCCCCTTTAATATCCAGCACGAATCAGTTGGCATCAGTTGAGTACCTTTTCTAAACTCTGTGATTGCTCGTTTGCTTTCAGAATCAACTCCCGCTTACACATAAATAGTACTCTCACAATCAAGCTCGCTTGCCATGCACCTTACTGTACATACAATATTTGCACCCCAACAAGATGTGTCTTTCAGCAGAATCATTCAATTACTCAACTGCTCGTGCGAGCATTTTTCAACTTTCGAATGTCCTAGGCCGTGAATTCTTGGATGCCTACATAGGACTCATAGCAAATCAGAAGGTCAGTGGGAATTTTTTGTAATCCTGATTCTGTTAAATCTTTTCATGTAGCTCCAGACTGAATTATATGTTCTGTCATTCTTGCTCAAAAATCGAGTTTATTCTGGCGATCTGTGGGAACTGGTTGGGGAGCGCAGCATAGAGGCGAAACAAGAGGAAACACTGCGAAGACATCAGAGCGTATGTACTAACAGACATACCGGAAGGCATGTGGCTGTAGAACAGATTCTCTTAGAAGAGAGGAGGAAACGGTGTCAGATAGAGGTGTCTTTTTACACCCAGGCTATTGAAGTCTTGGAGCAACATTGGTTGTGTGAGCTTCTTTTTGTCTGGGTGCGGATGTGCAGTCTGATGCTCTTGTTATTTGTAGCACGTCTTGGAGCTCGATCCAAGCATCCCATCAGGCCTCCCTCAAGGCAAACGGTTGCTCCTACAGACTGTGCACCTCTACCGTGCACACCTCTGGCCTGCTCGATAGCAGCGTGAGGGATGTGTGAAGTTTGGCTGATGAGTAACGATGCCCCCCTCATTCCAACTGCAGCATCTTTGATGGAAACATTATCGCCTCTACATATCCCTCTCTCTTTGGCACATGGTAATTCCACCTCGCAGGAAGGAAGACCAACGTCTGTCTGTCTGAATGTCAGTGCTTTGACAGTTGGCTTAGCTGCTCTGACCGACTGTTTACAGTGTATTGGCTCCTCATTGCCCCTGTCGAGTACATGGGTCACTGCCGACATCCAAAAATCCTTTTATAAGTTATTCGAGCAGGAACTGACCATACAAGGGGAGCTAATGGTGACATCCCTGGCTACCAGACGTAGCAATGCCTACCTGCGTAACCTTGGGTTGGATTTACTCATCTTGCAGGCCAAGAGATGCCACGCCCTCACAGAGATAGCGCTATATACAATGGCCATCAGTAATTTTTATGGACGCAAGCTCTGTGATATTAGTGAGCACAATTGATCATGCTCCTTTTCATGCTAATGATACCGTAGGTTCGTTGACATCTTTGGATTCAAATATTGTCCAACTTCTGTGTAACGAAGCGCACTACCACGACGAGGATATCAACGACGGCACAGAGGGGAGCTGTGAAGACTATGAAGATTATGAAGACTATGAAGATTACGAAGACTACAAAGATTACGAAGACTGCGAAGACCTCGACATTCAGTGATACTGCAATTTTTCATCGACATCTGCATATTTTTTTTTTTGAACGGGACTGTATTTTTTGGCCTTCGTAAATTATTCTCACCTTTTTATCGACTGATTATTATTGACCGTGTATAGAAGTGTGTATTGTTAATGCATTCTCACGAAATCCTGCACCATTTAGTTCTTGTTTGGTTAATCGGTTAAAACCTGTCTTGCCTCGCGCTACTTCTATGCTGTTCCTCATTCTCTAGTACGTTCGTATCAAAGTGTATGTATTGGAGGACACCGAGTACTGTCCCCTTCTAAACTTAGCCTGTGAGGCCAACCTTCTGTTTGGTTGTTGAAGATACTTGTGAAGTTTTCTGCACTCTGAAATGGTGTTTATCATTGTGATGCCTACCATGAATCAGAATCATAGCTCGAAGTTGTTGACATATATTTGTATGTGCACCCGTGCCACACCCAAGCTGTGCCCTTCAAGACTCTGGAGTTCGCAATGCAGATGCATTGGCACTCTATCTTACTTCTTGTCTGGCAGGCCTTATCCTGCTAACCACCACTATTTGTGGTTGAACACAATCTGTGAGTTCTCCATCGCATTCTGAGATTATGACACCTAATACTATCCCATCAGTATCATATTTGTTTACTTTACAAATGTCAAACTCCTGGCGGAACATAATGTGCTTCTTGTTTAAGTGACAACTTTGAGCGAGAAGTTGAACATGTCGTAGATTTTGACCATCGAGTATCCAAGCTCTCTGCAAAGGAGGCTCAAACCGCGTTCCAGAAGGTCCTCCTTGAACTCGCGGAGACAAAAATCGGGTTGTTTTCAAAGTGCCATGACCTCGCCGTGTATGAGCGCAGCTATGCAAGTGCTGCTGCCATTCGACCTCATTATCGCCTTGGAAGTGGTACATTTTGCATATTAGGATACGACACTCAAGCTAACTCCGCGTAAGGCCTTGTCCTTTTCTTTCCCTTGCAAACAGCGGTACCTCACCCTAGCTTGCAGTAATCCTCTGTACATTCGAGCAGGTGCTGTTAACGCATGCATTGTAACACATCTTGAATCGCTGCCTGCTTGTGGTTCTCCAAAAATTTTAATCTTATCACTCACATACAGCTCCGTAACTTCTGATTCGCAGGAAGCCATGAATGCACCATTTTCCAGGCATACGGCTTCAACCTCGTCTCGCTCACAAACTCATTCGTTGGATTCTTTGGATGGTTGGTCAGCAGAGGAAGCTACGCTGGTACGTGGTGTTTTCTGTGTCTATTTTGAAGTCACTGTCCATGGACTAGGAGTCTTAGTCGTCTGGGTGTCTCAGATGTATGTCAGGGCGATCGAGACACGTGTACTTCTGAGGGATAGCAGATAATGATGCCTTTCGTTGTGCAAATGGTGTGGGGCATACTGTAGTAGCATGCTGCCATCCGTGTGCCACTATATCGGATGGGGGCTCTCATGCCCATGGGACCCGTTTTCCTTCCACCTCATGGTAAACCGCGTTTTACGAATCATAGATCATGTACAATGTCCGCTAACTATTTGTGAACAGCGTACACTAGTAGTAATTGCAGTTACGTTGCATCCCCCTGCTCAGATCAAGCCACTGCTGAATAGCCCCGAAAAGTGGGAATCTACTACAGCTCCTGCCTTTAAGTATTGTCCTCAACTTCGCCATTGTATTCAGCTGAGTAATACAATCAGATTTTTTCAAGCGAACACGTTTTCGACGTACTTGGAGTAGGAGAAGGAGCATCCCATGGGATCTGATGGGGAGAGCAAGTACTAACCCAATCTGGTGCGTATTCTTTCAACACTCTTGCCCGATAATTTTCCTCTAACCAACGAAGTCTGTACTTTTGGTACAGCCCTTCCAACCTAGAGCAGTTCGTTTCTGCCAACTGCAGTAGCTCTTTGAGCTCGGTCGTGGAGTCCACATGGCTCTTTTCGTTGTTAATCACTGGCAGAAGTGGAACCTCGTTGCTCCATGCCGAGGGGCTGTTGGCATTAACGTTGTCCACCAACTCAATTCTAAGGAAAGGCATTAGCACGTGCTGCCGCCAAGTGGGTCTATCAGGCTTACCGCAGGTTCAAGCTGATACTATGTCCTTGCAGTTTGGAGGTCTGACATCCAGGCTGTGGCATATTGGGTGTTATCCGGATCTATTCTCTGGTGAAGAGCTACAATGAGAAATTGAAAGCTCGAGGGAGCTATATATTGGACGGTGATATATCATGTTTCCCTTTGACCATCTAAACTCAAGTTTAATGCATTCCAGTACACAAAAAATGAGCGGCTGGCCATCGTTTGGCCATCATTCAAGGTTACCATAACAGTGGCAGTAAATGGTGGCCATCATTCAAGGTGGCCGTAAATAATGGCCACTTTTTTGGCCATCATCAATTTTGCTGTCATTTGCCGTGGCTTACTGCTTTTGCCACTAGTTTCCCTGTCATATTACGTAGTACTGGGGATGAAAACTACTTCTGGTATCTGCAGAGCCCTGGCTATTTTCCTCTTCTCCAGTCATTGATGACCATCCAAGAAACCACTCCCAGCGTCCCGAGTAAACGTGGCTCCTCAGCTCTCCAAATGGGACCTCACAAAAAAGTGTAAGCTGTCCCAGGTACTCGACCGCAACTTTCATAGACTAATAAGGCTGTCTCCCAGCTCCTCATCCGATCCACTAGTGTCCCACGGACGTCATTTCGGTCGAACAGTATTCGCCCTGTGTAACTACCCCTCGTTGCTCACCAATGGAATTTTGAGACTTGAACAAATTGAAGATTTTCCATTGGAAGATTTTCCTGCTGAGTGAAACATATTCACATCTGTATTTTTCGCTCATTGGCTGACGTACTTGACAGAGAGCGGCGAGAACATTGTGTCTTTGAACAACTTTTAGACTCTTATCCCGGTCTTCTGGAGCAACTGAAAGACGGGTCCGAGGAAGAAATCCTTCACGTTGGAGAGCTGGTGCACTGTCTTCTGCATGGATAGAATTTATGCTTACGATTTACAGATCGGTAAGGGAGCCGCAGGTGCCAGAGGCGATGATACCAAAACGTTGAAGTCTGCGATACTTGATTGGATTTCCCCCAAAGGGGAAGGCATACGGCCTCCTTTACATAGAAATTCTAAGATTGACCGCGGTTTTAACCACGACCTTACAGGATCTCTTCTTTGTCCCGCTGGGTTGGACTGGAACGACCCTCAGTACATTTCTGTTTGCTGGAATCTGTGTAGTCCTGAATCTTCTTTTGTACTTCTTTTTAATGTAGGACCAAAGAGAACCTCCAAAGCAGCGAGATGATGGTCTGTGGGGATCAATGGCCTGTTTTTTTGTATGCCCACCATATTTATGACCCTGAAGACCCGTGGTGTGGGCTTCTTAGGAGACGCTTGCTAGTCTACGTGAGTACACACTTATTTTTCAGATATTTCATTTGTTACGAGGTATTCCATCAGGCCTACAAGCACATGTTCACATCTCCAAGTTCGGTTGACAGGGAGCCAAAGGCCATGCGATCTGGAAATGCACGCCTCCATGGCATGAATTCTGTCACAATCGCCTCCCTAGCGTATATTGCAACACAGGTCCGTTAAGCATCAATTCTGTGGCAGCTCAGTTTTGACGTACAATTGAAAGTATGATTTGCCCTGAGCTTGTCCTCGGTGTTCTCTCGGACCGACACAACTACAGACTCAGAAACATTCTATCATAGCCTCCTCGACCTCTTAGAAGACCCTGAAGAGTACAAGGAAATCGACGAGCTGCTAACCTGGTGGAATCAGTATTTTTTTCGCTCTTCGCCATGTCACCAAGGCTGATACATTGTCACTCACTCAGCCAAATTTTCCCCACTTCTTCTGCAGCCAAGAGACCTGTCAGTGCCAACAGCGCCTTATCCAAGATTTGACAAAAATGTTTGGCCCTCAAACAAGCTTCGAATCTAAATGTCATCTCTTCATAGTTTTATTTAAATTTAAATATTCATAGTTATATAAATGCAATCTAATGATGGCCTGGTTCGGCTTTTATAACCCTTCTAGCCCACGGAAGCGATTGCAAGACGAAAAACGTGAACACTGCTACGTCTTGGTACATTTTAGCCTGGCGTTATAAAACATTACCCGATGTCATCGTCCAGAGAGGGTTTGCGATGAATAAAATCCCTCGCTGCCTTGCATCTTATGACCATACCTCAGCAATTGGCTGATGAAGGGCACCGCACTGACATGCCTCCACATCATGAGACCGAAAGCAGCCCCCATCCACAACAGTCTAGCATTGGAAGACTCCAGCAGTAAGAGAAAGAATGTGGAGCGTGAAGTGACCAACTGACCCTGTGTGCGGCTACCATATCTAAACAAGGTTGGGCAGGATGCCAACACACTGTCTGGGTTGTGTACTTAGCATATCTGAGCAGCACAGGCAAACATCACAACCACATAACTAACGTCAATGTTGAAGGAGTTCTTGTTAGAGGTGCAATAGCACGCTATGCTTGCATGAGCCAACCCCATTGATACAACTTGGTACCGCATTGCAGATGCTTGGCACCCTTGGATTGTAGGCAGTCCGGTCCAACATAGTCTGGTCATTCAAAACTTTGTCCCACATTAGCGTTTGTTCAGATATCGGGGTGCACAAAATGAAAAACCAACTTTATATACGCTTATCGTATCTCATCGAGGTCAGGACAGATGGCAACGCACTGTGGCTTATCGCCTGAATTGTGCACCTAGCAGATGTAAGCAGCACAGGATAGCGTGACAACCACTTACCTAATGTCAGCGCTGGGGAAGCTCCTGCTGAGGGTGCAATGTCAAGCTGTGCTTGCATAAGGCAACCACATTGATACAGCTTGGTACCACATTGTGGACGCTCAGCACCCTGAGGTTGTAGGTAGTTCGGTCCAACATAGTCCGGCCATATAGTTTTATAACCAACACTGACACCTATTCAGAGATTGCGGAGAAAGTCAACACAGTCAAAAGTTGCATGTCATGACCGCAGCAAGTCAAAATTATCATGTATTGCCAACTTACCACCAAGATGACACATATTACAATACCCGCCCGCCATGACAGAGTTGTCAAGCGCGAGCACTGTCACCTAGTTGTGGACTATTGCAACCGGACTGCCATAATTGTATATTTGGCGGCTTCCATCCTAAGTCCGGGTATTCAAAGCTTTCTCGAGTGGTATACAATTCTGATAGGTATTATGCAAATTTTAGACGAGATAGAGCTTGCTAATAATTTATCATTTTCGGGTCATTTACCTGATGCAGTTGCTGGTGCTCTGACTCGTCCGTCATAGAATGCTTGTATAATTAGCTCGCGGTCGTGATGTATGCAAGACGTGTTTGTGACTTTCCGTGGTTATACAGTGAAATGTTCGAGTGTTCGCCTGTCAAATATGTGCCGCGAGTCTCGCCTGTAAGGTCGCTTGATCAATCATTGGGATGAATGCTGCGCAGACTTCTTACTGGCAACTCCCCTGATTAATGGGCGCTGGTGGCGTTGGACATAGCATTTGGTCAATACCACAGGAAGATAGCCTCGTCTGGAACCAGGAGTTCAGAATAGGCAAATGGATTTGGAGTCAGAGACTCAGAGAAGAGTTACATGAGCGACTCGCAACTGTCGTCCCTTCCGACGAAGGTTCTCGATGAGAGGCGCTCAAGCTCGGGCAACGATTGACTTGACGTCAATGATGGAGTTGGCATCGACGCCGACCACACAAAAGAACTGGAAGCTTGATTTGGTACTAAATGGACTGGCGTTCGAATCCTTGTCAGGAACCTGTACTACGATTTGAATTTTGTTTTTGATGCAGGCACCAGCGTTTAGCAAGTCGTCCCCAACTTCACTAATGGGGGACTCACCATGACAGAGACTCGTACATCGGATTGTCGATGAGTTGTTGAAAGACATGAATGCGAGGAAGAACTTCGACCGTGACGGACTCGGAATAGTGCCGATGATAGTATCCGCGGCAACTTGAAGGCCTGGAAACTATCGAGGAAGATGAATTCAAAGACTTTGGCTCGTGAATCTGAATGTCGTTGCAATAGCTTTTACTGTAGACACGAGTCGTGTTTCTTACTTTGTTTTCATACAATGCAAACAATTTGACATTTCAAATTTCATGCCTATGTCTCCGTACGTATCTCCGCGAGTGCACATGGTACTAATTAAGCACTGCCGGTATATCTCTTGATTGGACAACTTTAGCTTCACCCTCTTATGTGCGGTGTTTGAGCACCCTACTGAGTTGAGGTCATTCCATCTCCAAACGAAATTTTATTTCTACATAACTGTACTGCCTGAGCAGTGCATGAGGTGGCTTGCCCCGGTTGCAAACGAGGATCCCTATGTTCGATGGCGCCATGCTATGATATTGAACAAACCTGTACGGACATCGCATACAAGAGCCCACCTGCGACGAGCTACCCGCTTGCGTTACATTGGATAGTGATACAAGTGATGCTCGTCGCAACGAGGCGTCTTGGGTTGTGCTCGCCACACGTTCCAGCCCGTCTGACTCGAAGTCGAGATAAATATGAATGACGTCGAATGCGAACCCTAAGTAGGAGGCCACGACTCGTGAAAGAAAGAAGAACGCATTCCGATGATATGTGAGATCCCTCAGTCATGGACGGAGGATCGAAGACAGTCACCCAGAGATCCGATATGTGAACAGGCTGGATAGAAGTGAAGCGCATACCCCAGACGTTCGGTTGCCCGGGCCTGCTATGAGGCTGCAGTGGTTTGAATATACTCCCACCAACAGTTGAGTCATCCAGTTGGGAGCTGGAAGTATTCAGCGCACAATAGCACAACATCGAGAACACTTATCAGACCCTGGATCAATGAATTTGGATTGAAAGGTACCCTGACTTGCCCACACGGAACCATTGCGCACGAGTAATGGATGGAAATCCCGCCAGAGGAAAGGCTCCGCTGAATGCATACTAGTCGCGCAGCCGCCAAAAACTTTTTATTCGTCTGTTCCCTGGAACACATACCGACAGAATAGGCAGCCTTTTGCAGTCCCGACTGGAGTCGCCCTGCAATATGCAATACCTGCATAATGTAGATATCACATACACACAACAAAACCTAGAGTAACCAACGTACGCATACATAAAATGGTAACGGAGTTGAACTAAACAAAAGAGGTGCTAGCACCATTGACGCATAGCGTTTCCATCCGACAAGAGAGTGTACGGCCATGGTCTAGAAGGTTGAAGATGAAAGTTGTTGGGACAGGTTGAAAGTAAGGGTGAAGGACAGCAACAACGAGGTTACGGACAATATGGCGAAGGGACGCGATCGAGGGTCGGGGAGGAAAGACAGGGATACAAATTGGTGATAGCAGATAATGATAGGAAGAAGATACATTTGTCTGCAGCGGATATAGCGGGAAACATCCATCATCGTGGATGGATGATTACAGAGCGGGGTAATTAAGCCTAAAATATATATTGTTGAGATTCTGGACACCAGCAAGAAAGAAAGGAAAAAAACTTACCTCAGTTTCAGCAACTGGTGCTTCAGTAGCAGCAGCAGCTTCTTCCTCTAGCTCTTCTACAATAGTCTCTGGTGCGGGGCCTGGGGCCTCGTTCTCATTTGTTGGGGCTTCAGCCTGATAATCAAGATAAGCGTGGTTTTAAATCAAACGAGGTATGTCCCACCCTAGATACAGGCTTCTTGGAGGCTGCTCTTGAAGCGGGTTTCTTGGCAGTAGTTGAAAGTGGTTTGGCGGATGCTCGAGACGCAGGTTTCGCAGCCTTAGAGGCTGGTTTTGCGGGGGCTGCCTGGGAGGCTGGCTTTGAGGCGGCCTTGGATGCAGGCTTCGACGCAGCCTTGGATTCGGGTTTAGCCTGACGATTGGTTCAGTATAAGCAAAACGCGCAGTAAAAAAAGTGGAGGCAAACGAACCTTTTTGGCGGCGGGTGCCTCTTCACTCTCTGGTTGAGCGCTCTCTTCCGCAGCTTTTTCAGCAGCAGTACGCTTCTTTCCCCTGGCGGACTTGGGTTTAGCTTCAGCTTCACTGTCTTGTTTGTCGCTATCCGCAGTAGGTTTAGGTTTTCTTCCCCGAGGCTTCGCGGGAGCCTTCTTGGTTGCTGGGGGCTTGTCCCGACCAGCAAGGCGGGATGAACGGCGAGCAGGATTAGCGTCACCATCAGTAGCTGCTGTGGTGGTGCCAGTGGGTACGGAGTCGTCTGCAGGCGCGGCGGACGCAGCGGCTTTGCGGGGCATCACGATTGATGGATTGTGGGTGAAGAAAAGTGAGGGTGGACGCGCTCGACACCCTATTACTTTTGAACTTTATCTAGGATATCAACAAACAATACTCGATCACCTGACCAAAAGCGCGTATACAGCTACAAACAATCACTAATCTGCGCACGGTCCCGAACCGAGGCAGCTTACGACCTTAAGTTAAATAGTAATCGCTTCCTTTAGCTATAGTCTAAGTTACTTTATGGGTTATCGACACTTCTGCTCGATTGAGAAAATTCCCCTCAACAGACAGGTAAACATCACTCTATTGATTTATTGATGTACACATAATGCCAGCAAGCACCTACTTAGAGTGTCTGCTCGTTCCAACGAGACAGCTTCACAGATGCAGGCGTTAAATATGCGAACAAAAATGATACTTTCGATCACAAATGGGCCAATACGGCATCAGCACCAGAAACGGTCACTCCGAGGCCAGGCTCGACCTACGTATCCAGTCATCAGGATCTCCATTATTATGCAGTTCGCAGGAAATACACGAACCTCGACGTATTTAATAACCAAGTCGTCTATGATCATGGCGTATCGTGCAGTACGGATTCCGAATCCGCGCCCGGAGAGGTCGACACTTAATCCCAGGCTGCCTGACCATGCGGCATTGGGGTCAGAGAGGGTGATTATCTGCGCACGCAAACTCTTTCGTTTGCTCCTGGAATGACCTGATGGTATGGACAATTTACCTTGTCTGTCAGTCCCTCAACACGTCCCCATCCGCTCAGGACGAACGGATCATTGGCAGCGATGACAGCGATAACATCGACACCCTTGGCTTTGAACTCGTTGTACTGGGCAAGGTAGGGTGGGAGGTGGTTGATGTGACAAGTTGGCTAACAGGATGGGGTGAGTTCAGTAATCAGAAATGTACTCGAGAATACATACGGTGAAAGCACCAGGCACTGAGAAGAGCACAACCTTCTTGCCCTTCCAACTGTCAGTAGATAGGGTGGTGGCTTGTGATCATTCTGATAAGCCTTATTCTACGGGTACTGACAGAAAACAGACGCACGAATACCACACGCCGACTATGCGTGACCAGACATATCAGTGACAACAATATTAGGATTCGAAGCGATATGACTCACATGATCAGCTAACTCTTCGGTGAAAGGGATAGTACCGAAGTCGCCCTTTGGAAGAGTGTCACCGACGGAGATCTTGAGGGATGCCATGAGCGAGTTGGGTAGTAGGTCAAGCAAATAGGTGACAACTCAATGGAAGCGACGTGGTTTGACAATGAGATAATCGCGATCGCTGAGCGCTGGCGCTGAACACCTTATCTAGTGTACAATTTCGCGGAGTTCTGAACACACTCGTGGCACACTTGGATCACACACACTTGCTATTACTATATTACACTTGCTTAAGTTCTGGCATGTGGACTGGTAAGAAAACGCTGAAGTTTGCACTGCAGTCGTGCAGTGCTCAGTATTCGATAGACGTGTATCGTTATGATCACGCTGTTGGACGCCGTTTGGTATTGATTCATCTGATTTGACGATCAATCAATATGTTATATAGGTTGATCATAGCAACTTTGTTGTAAAATTAAATTATCTCCATTATATTGCCACTGATATCCAATCTGTCCCGGTATGTTATGGGTTGACATCGCTGGGAGGAAGAACACACCAGTCATCCGGTGAAATCATTCTTTCATCGATAAGAATTGCCCCGTCTCACAGTGCACACCTATATATGATTTAGATCTCGGAAGGCATTGTATTGAATTGCCTTGTGGGACCCATTTTGGCACAACCTCAAAAGACCGGGTGCCGAATAACGCCTGTCCTCGGATCTTTTCGACCGACCACGATGTTTAGAGGTGCAACTGTCAAGATAGCCCACAGCTCGACGATCCCTGTTCCTGCCCTGATTGGAAATGAGGAGCTCAGGCCTCTACAAGATTTGATTGCAGCAGAGAAGTCGGTATTGGCTTCGTGAGTCCACCTCGCGTTTGACACAGCTATCAATCAAACCTCGAGGCAGACTACAAAGGTTGAGCTCAGACTTTTCCAAAGCTGCTGATGCCATGAAGGCATGGGCAATTTCTGAAGGAGATGATCTTTCTGTAAGTCTTGGCATTGTCTCGAGATAAACTAAACATCGAACGCGGGTTCAGGATATATTGAGTTCATCCAGAGCACTCCTGGCGCACTTTTCGGGGGCGCTTAACCGCTACAGCTCCATTCAAACCATCATTCGAGACAACATGAAGGCCGTGCGTACGCGTGAAGAATCCCTTGACATCCTTCAACGGCGCCGGCGGCGTACTGCAGCCTCTGTAGAGAGCATCAGGAAAAAGCTCACCCGAATGAACCAGGAGACCAAGGCATTCCATGCACAGATGGACGCATTGAACATTTCATGTAAAGCCATGCGAAATTTGGATGCAAAAATCGCACACGAACAATCGACGATCGTCGCTTTCAAACGCAAATGCACGAAAAACTGGCTGACATTAAAGTTTGGAGGTCTTGCAGAGTGCTGTGAGAAGGGCGTGGTATGTTCTGCACGCCATTCAGTCACAACTCCATATCTGAATATCTGAACAGATTATTGGGGAGATAGGGAAGCGAATGGTAGTCGTGGGTAATGCCCTATTACTTGCCAGTGCTTAGTTCTCTAAGAGGGCTGGGACATCAGGAACTTTCGGAGTCACCCAAACATCCGTATTTGGGGCACAAGCACACGACCTCGTTACTGTCCGAGGCCCAGCATCGCATCGTTCAAGTCGCATTTTCTGGGACGCCATCCAGTCACGAGATACACGAGGCTCCGCCCCCACCGATTTCCCAGATTCTGAATTGCTTCAAAGATCTTCCAGAAATTCGTGACGAGCCCTTTGGCGTGATATCCGTCGATTATCTCCCTGTCAGCAACCGATCTTCGCTTGACGATAATATGATGATAGCTCCCGTCCATGTCGTATGTCCTCATGATCAATCTCATCCGGAGCTTATATAAACTTTAAGAATAGCTTTCGGAAATTGGCCCGCCGACGACTTACACACCAGACTATAGCTGTCAGGCAGAGTCATCTCTCTCATGCTCTGAGCTATCTTCAGCTCCTTCTAGCCGCAGAAGGATGACAGGGAATCCTGGCAATAGGAGGTACTCCGCCTTAGTGCGGAGTAGATTCTTTCCAGGCTTTAGACTCGATAGCATCGCGGAAGGTGATGAGCCTTTACCTTCCTCATCTATGTCCAGTGATATCGGAGACCCACGGTCATGTCTGAACCCGATCGGCCCGCATATATCAAGTTTAGAAATCACTTCGTCGTCGAGCGGTGGTATTTATGAAGAAATATTACCAGGGCAGTGTCCACCTTGTTCAAGTCTATGAGTTTGTTTGAGGTATGGCAGATACAGCCTCGTTGGTCGGGTGGAACGTTGAACATTCGTCCCTGCAGTGAAATGCTATATTCCTAATACGTATTATGCTAGTATGCAATCTTATCACATGGAGATGTAAGCAGGTCGCCACGAACGCAATACTGGGCTATGTACATGACCGGGGTCAGGAACACTATATTGCCGGTCGTACAGTAAAGGGCTGCCCTTCTGAAAGTTGGAGTTGATTCGGGATCTGAGCACGTCGCCAAAACGGGACTGGTACCTAAACCTTTACTATCTAAATGTTACATAAATAGTATCATGTGATTCCATTTTTGAGTGAGAGATGATTGATTATATTCACGAACATGCTAATGCATATAATGTACTCTATGGAAAGGGAAAAGGATGAGGGTGAGGGATGTGTTTAACAAGGCTTAATGGGTTTGGGATGTGCTACTGTTTGTAGATACATGCACCGCGCGCCATGAAGGAGTCCCGTTTAGGACAATAATCGAATAAGGTTCAATTCGTAGTCTCTTACATAATAATCTGTCACTCAACGTTTATTGCCAAGTATTGCGGCACACTGCTTTGTTTCTCGTGCTCTCATGCCGGTTATCTGGCCTCGGCCCTCGATTGATAGGCTATACTTATCTGGATCGAGAAACGGGATTGCTATTGGACCACAGAAATGTCACCGAGTCATCGACCACTAGCACACCGTTGAACAGGATATGTTCGTCTTCGACCACTCACTGGGCTGCGATGGGCAGCGAAATTCGCATCATCACTATTCTCGTACTAATCGAAAGAAGCTAGCACAACCACGTTTGATGAGCAGGAATTTAGCCAAATATACAGTTGTCGATCCGCCGCGGCTACTAGGACTTTGGAGCAGGATCTCTTTCCACTGTCTCCTTTGTATTCCGATCAGTTTGATGGCTTATGCCAAGCATCTGACTCAGGAGAATGCGAAGTTCCGTGGTGCGGCTTTCCGTCGGACTCGCAAGCCAGCGCTACTATGCGTACGATGTTATCGTGGAAAGCGTGGCTGTAACTATGATGCTGTAGCGCCTGGAAGTAACTCAAACCGAGCGTCATTTCGCAGCCTAATCAATGAACCATAGAGCTGTTCAAAATCGTACCGGCTCGCGGCTTCTCGAGCGCCTGTTCAACTGAAACAACTGCATCAATACTCGATATCTGCAGTCTTCGAGTGTGTTCCACTGTGGTGGTCTAGAAAGTGCTTCAAGCTCTGCAGAGTCACGATGTCGAAGATCGTCACCTCCTTTGGATAGTGAGTGCATTAGTACTATGAGAGGCTTTGGTCGTTGATTCACTACAGCCATAGTAACGGCACGCGGGTACTCTAGATTCCAGTTATATCTAACAAGCGGTACCTAGGTGGCAGGTGCTTGTATAAGTTCATTCTTTCGAACCCCTGCTGGTTTCGATGTGCCTTCGGTTATGATGGCTCAAGGTACTCCGAAAGCTTTTTCTCACGGATACAGATCGGGTTCACCAGCACCTGGAAGTTCGAAAGTTCAATCTGGACCGGTCCATCCGGGATTCAGGTGTGTGTGCAACGTTGAATGATCTCATTACAGACTCCGGGGCAGTCCCCAGTCCCTTGTAGTTACACTGCCGGTATGAATACTGCCATCGACCGGCAACTCACGTTCCTTTCAAGCGCCCATTTGAAGTATAAAAACCTGGACCCGGGACAACCTATGCATCCAACAAGTCACAATGTTCTCTCAAGCTCTTACTGTTCGCGCTGATAGCATCGCTCGTCATTTCGAGACGGTCTTCCTTTTTACAAAAAATGATATCAGAACCACTCTGATACCTGTCGTATGTACCAACCATTGTACGTTTCACCACCTTGTTAATTACACTTTTCAGACTATATTCGCGTTATCTGCGACTCCCAAATATCACCCCACCCATGCTTGGAACGCCCCTTTGTGGATATGGTTCCATTTATTGCAGTTCAACATTGCAAATCAGATCCAGGATCCCGAGGAGGACCGCAAGAACAAGCCCTCCCGTCCGATACCTGCTGGTCGCATTTCTGTCGACAGCGCAGCTGATATGCGCTGGATTATGGTCCCAGTCTGCTTGTTGCTATCGTTGTGGTACGGCACTCAGGCTGTGCTGGCCAGCACCGTTTTTGCAGCGTTGACAATATGGTACAACGAACTTGGCGGTGATAAAATGGGATTGTCGAAGAATGTACTCACAGCCATTCTCTACGGGTGCCTGGAGGTCGGAGGAACCGTCGCTAGTAAATCTATCCAGTCACAAGAAATCTGTCATTTTGCTTATCGAGCGTACAGGTTCTCCCAACTCATGCATCGATGAGGCTGGTGCTTTGGCGGCCGCAATTAGCTCGACAATCTATGCAACTACGCTTCATGCACAAGACTTTAAGGATGAAGAAGGCGATCGCCTCACTGGCAGGCGCACGCTACCCACAATGTTCCCTAAAGCCGCGCGCTTCTCAATGATGTTCGGTCTTCCCCTCTGGGCATATGCCTTGAGCCGTATCTGGAAGACAGATGCGCTCTCTACCACCGCATTTGTTCTTTACAGTGCATTTGTGGGAACCCGATTCGTGATGTACAAGACGGTAGGCGACGATAAGCAGTCCTGCAAATTTTATAGTGTGAGTCGAACTGTTACTTGGGAGCACAGCGAGGTGAAGCTGACAATGGACTGATTAGCTGTGGCACTCGCTCGGTCATCTACTTCCAGGTTACTGGCGGTTCTTCTATGGTGTTTGAGTATCCGGAGCTGAAAGTCGCATTTGTCCCGTTTTAAGTTAAGGGCGAAAGGGAGCGAACAGGAGGGGGTGGATACAAATGATACCCGGAAGAAATGCGTGCTTATTCGTGTTAAATTACGTAGATATAGATAATTTTCATTTTGTTTCCCTTACATAATAGGAACAAGACTAAGTGTTCACTGATGACTATATCGATGGTCTGCACCCGCGCTACAACCACCTGTCCTGACGGCGCCGCCAGGCATAAGTATTAGTGCCACTACCACATCAAAAGACAAGTCGATGTAGGCCGAATGTAGTACTAGTAGGCGTGAGAACGTCACGTGCAGACTCATCATCGATGGTTGTCACGCATTCGTTGATCTTTTGAACCTGAGGCCTGAGGCCTGAGTCCCGAGCCTTGAGCTTAAAGGTGTCGAAAGACTTGCTAGGACTAGGTTTCAAGTACGTATTGGTCCCTTTTCTCTTCTCCGGTTCGTCCTTCATTTTCAGCAATATTAATAGGAAAGATCGAGATGTTGTGTGTAACGAGACATGGGCGTGGCTGGCTCTGAATCGTCAGCTACCGCCAGTGTAGACGTCGACCGTCAACCGGGCCCACTGAGCTTTTAACAGATGTGTTACTAAAGCCCCGAGCCAAGTGGATAGACACTCAGACTGGACCTCGATATGATTCTCAGATTTCTATTGCAATCTCTGCCCTAGATTTTCCATAGTAAGTACTGACTTTCGCAAGAAACCAGAGTCCGAGCGATGTCAGTCGTACTCACGACGTGAACTGTAATCACCTCCTAGACTTGAGTTCCGCCATGCCGATTATTTTTATCGTAATAACCGTGCCAAGTCTTATTTGTACAACGTTCATTTCGTCTTGCAGCTTGGTTTCGTTCCTAGAACGGGATGCGGCCTCTGGCAGGCTAAGTTAAGGTACGTTGCATAGTCTTCGTGCACCATTTCCCGATGGAGTTCCGACTTTATGTCCAGATAGGTAGCCCATCCAGTCCGTCTGTCAACGCTTGAACTAAGCCACACTGCCACAGCGCCGTCTTCTGCGACCGAGCTATATAGCGCCTGGCAGGATCTTGATCATGACACGTACAGACAGCAATGTCCGAATCCGGTAAATACTTGCTTGTACCAGTCAGACTATATCACTGTCTTCTGCATTCCTCGGGTGGCATCACATCTGCGAAGAGTTTAACGTAACTTGAACTGTTATCTGAAGTCCGATTTCGCTCCTCGGAATAATGTGCAGGTAGGTGGCAGTTTCATGATGACATGATAATTCTGACCATACCATTTTGATTTGCTGCTCTATGCGACTTTACTCGGAAAGGCGGCCCCTTTCATATCATTGTTTTTGGAAAATCTACGGCAAGAAAAACCTTGAGCACCACTTGTATCCTCCTCGCACCGTAACGGCGGTGCTCGTTTTTTTATTTGCCCATTCTAAGACAGCATCGTGGACAGTAAGAGATTAGTTCTGAAGTGAAACATTGTGGACACCCTCCCCGGCATTCGGTTCTATCACCTGCAGGCCCCTACGCCCGATTGCACCAAAAAGGTCCGCATGAATCTCACCACGTTGCACGCATACACTAGACTGTCACCCACCTTTCAGTAATAGTTTGCACTGGTATGCAGGGCAGTGCCTGTGGAGATCCTTTTGGTAACGTAATGCAAGGAAACAGGTGCGCCCTCTGGTCCCTCCGCGGAAACTATTTCCCCATTTGAACCATTCCTTTGTTTACGCTTTCAGTCAAGTTGGTGGCACTCAGCAAACCTCGTTCTGTGAAGGATGCCATCATGCGACTAAATCAAAGAAAATCGCATTGCAATATTTGATGTTCACTTGTCAGATTTAGAGTTTCCGAATCGGACGGCCAAACATCGTCACCGGCGCATGTAACGTGTTGAAACTGAACACTATGATCAGACTGAAATACAAGTTAGCGCATGCGCAGGCGGGAAGAGTACCCTCAGTCCCAGATAATGGACTGAAGCAAGAGAGTACTTAGTATCTACGAGAGTCCGGTCATATACAGTGGCTGGTATTTCAAACGTTCCGGTTCCGCGTTTGCGTCGGCATTTTCAACGGAATTCAGACACTGCGCTCAGGCTATGTTTGGCCAAAATTGACATGTAGTATGTCTTGTTTCACCTTCTGATCTGACCTCACCCGATGAGAAGCCCTTTCAACGGGCAGAAAGCTCCTTTTAGCTTTTTTTTTCACTGGAGGAGGTAGTACATACTAATGGTATGCATCTGAACTAGTTGTGTGGAGATTCTACTCATGACAGCATCCAATCCAGGTGTCAATCAAAGTTCGCGAGTCGGCATCTTGCTTTCCTATAGATTCGTTTCATAAGTAAACTAATACCACAGACGTTTCAACGATACATTTCTGAATAGCCATTTTGGAATGGCAAAATCGATCTTGGGCTATTTAACTGGCTCGAAATGAGCAAACAATCAGACCATGTTGCCCCAAGCCTTAGATAGTGGCCGCCGTATCAGCAGGCATATCATGACACTGTTTTTGTTTACGAAGTCTGACGTCTTGACCACCCTGTTACCTGTCGTGAGTGTCCCTAAAATTCGTCGCATGTTCTTTGACACGACCCTGTGCATTAGACTTTATTTGCCTTGGCAAATGCTCCCCATCCCCATGCAACCCGCATTCTGGAAATCATAATTTGGATATGGATCCACCTCCTAAAATTTGACATATCCAATCAGATTCAGGACCCAGAAGAAGACAAAAGAAACAAACCTGATCGCCCTCTACCCTCTGGTCGCATAACCGCACAGAACGCAGCGGACGTGCGTTGGCTGCTAGTTCCCGTCTGTCTCATGTTTTCCGCAATGTATGGCGGACAGACTCTCGCCTCTAGCGCTTGTTTTGAAGCCTTGAGTATCTGGTATAATGAGTTTGGAGGCCACAAATTTGCGCTTTCAAAGAATATATTAACAGCCGTCGGGTATACGTGCCTGGAAGCAGGTGCAACGATCGTTGCAGGTACGTGGACTGCTCCGCCTGCAGCAAGTTTTGCCTTTGACTGAGATCTATATTTTGATAACCAGGGTCTAGCCCGTGCCTTGATAGTATCAGCGCGCGCGCAGTTGCTTTTAGCTGTGCAGTATTTGCAACGACGCTTCATGCACAAGATTTCAAAGACGAGGAAGGGGATCGCTTTATAGGAAGACGCACTCTCGTCACTCTGTTCCCTACCTTTGCACGTATTTCAATGTTGATCGGCGTCCCCCTTTGGTCTTTCTTCCTCAGCAGACTATGGAATGTGGATTCGATCTGTTCTATTGCCTTTATAGCATATGGAACAGTTGTAGGGGGGAGATTCATGGTCTATAGGACCGCGAGCGCTGATAAACAATCCTGCAAATTATACAGTGTCAGTGATCTCAAAGAGTTGGAAGTTTCTCCTTGCTAATTCATGATTTTAGCTCTGGTTTACCATTGCGCACTTACTCCCTGCCTATTGGCGATTTTTCTATAGCACTTGAAGCTTTGAAGCTCGAAGTATGTAGTATATGTGAAGTACCAAACAATGCAATACAACAGGAAAAAATCCTTGGTAAAATCAATCCTGATACACATAGTCAACCGTAGTTACTCAATCTCAAACAAAGGTACCTTTTGGAAACATGGCGTGTAACATCCGAATCAGGTAGCCGTTCGAAGCTGAGGATCGCTGGAGCCGTCGGAAACACATCGTTGATGTACTTCCTTAGAGTAGCGACGGACAAACTTGATGCAGAGCGTCTTGTCATTGGTTGTTTTGACGGAAAAGAGTAGTTTGGTAGGATACATTTGATCGCAGTACGTGAAATGACACGTCAACGATGTCTCGATGCAATTGAAAGAACACGGGTATGGAAACATGGGATTTGGAAATTTAGAGTCCGGAAATCTGAGGTGTTGATCGGGAGAACGGGACATACTAGTGTCATGCTCTGGTAACATGCCAAGAGGTACCGAAGAGCTTTCCTGAGCGCACCAACGTGCCGAGCGACCATCGCAAGCATTTTTCTATCAGTGGGACGATAAAAGAGAGGTGAAGCAGTCGAAATCACCTGCATGTTCGGACGGGTGCTCCAAACAGTAGCTGAGAAATCGATGTGCGGACCTGTTGAAGTTGTGATCAGTGCATCGCGAGTTGTGAAATACTGCAAATCTACCGAAGAGAGTTGCTAAACAGGGAAACATAAATGTAGGCTTGTCCTTTGTGAAAGATTCAGTGGAACGTATATAATATAAAACGGTTTGTGTGAGGGGTTCGGCTGCCCTAGACTCTAACTTGTTCTTAACTTCGGCGATTGCGTATCTTACGCTATCGGTGAAGTTAAGAACATGTCACCATCAGGTGCCATTAATTGTTGTGGCCCTCGTGTCAAAGTCGTGCACATTCATAGATGACTGTGAAGTTGAAGTAGTGTTGGAGCCTGGCAGGACAGGTCGGGAGTGGCAAGGGTACTGGCGCGGTGGCAGGAGTCCTGGCTCGTAGTCGGCAGTCCTCGCGCGTGTCGTAGCCTTCGTATATTGAGCTGTGAAATGTGCAGAACGAAGAGACCGAGCTCTATGATGACGAGCTCGGACGTGCTATGTATGAAGATACCAAGATATGAAGATCTTGAGTGATGTGAGAGAGGTTAGAACGAATCGTCAGTAGGTCGAAGTATTATTGATTCGGTTTTTGTGTGGGAAGGTCTGGCTTTGCCTGACCGACGCAGTGAAGCGCCGGGTTTGTGCTCGAAGCGAAGATCCAGAGAAGAAGAGGCTTGAAGACAGATATTGGAGCTCGGGAACAGAGAACAAAGAACAGACCTCGGGCCTAAAGGAGACGCGAGTCCAGACCAAAACTAACGCTAAGATGAAGATGGGATGGTGTGCGGGTCGAAAAAATCGTACGCGCAGAGGTGAGACTGGGAAGAAAGAAACGAGGCGAGTGAGAATCTTTCGAAGTGCAGTCTTAAGAGGAGTGCACGGGCCACAGTGCTTCACTAAAGAAGAAGCACTGCGAGGGAGGATCTCCATGTGGCAACTCTACGAAGGCCTAGCTTCACGCATCAACACTCGCAAGCTCGCGATCCGCTGTGGAGCGGCCATCTATCCTTGATCTTGATAGACAGAGCTGCAGCCTCCTGCCATAGAGGTCTGACCTTGGTTCCCCTTGCAGTCCGTGCCCGTTCCAGTATGCAGGGTGTAATGTGTGGAGATCGATCCCAGTGAATGAACTAGTACGGATTTTTTTGTATGCCTTTGAAGTTAGAAGGTTTTCCCTGGGGAAGACTGTACTCTTCACGAAGTTGCTGTGTCCTGTACAGGACTCGGTTGCAAATGAATACGGGAGCCGTCTGGGAGGCATCCGTCAGCTCAGCCACCGTGTCAAAGTGATATCTCACAAGCAAGTGGCGGTTAGACAACAATATGGAGGTCCGAGGTGTTTATACTTAGGATGACTGTAAAAAAGCTCGAGCATTCCATCCACAGGTGATAATGGTTTTGTTGTTGGGCATAGTACGGCCTAAGACTCCAAGTGCTAGAATTTCAATTTTTTTTTGCTATTGCGAATAAATAATATCTTGAAATATTCTGCAGCATTACGTAATACTGAATTCCGGTGTTGCCGCTCACTGCGCGTCGGCAGTCAACCTATCATTCAACGTTGCAACGACGCTTGTCAATAATTTACTGCATGCTGTAGGTAATATGGGATTTCTCCCGGACTTGAACCATGGCGGCGCAGGCTCCAGCTTGCCACTCCCTGTTCTTCTCCTTGCCGGAGTATCGACCCTAGTAGCAGTGACTGTCAGTGGATTGTCAATATGGCTGCAGCTAAGAAATTATAGGAAGCCCCTCCTGCAAAGGTAATTCCACTCATGAGGCTTAATTTCTAACGACTATTTGCTGACCCACGATGTTTGTAGGATGGTCATCCGAATTATGCTCATGGTCCCAGTCTACGCCTTGTCATCCCTAATTTCGCTTTTCTCGCTAGACGCAGCGTTCTTCATCGATGTGATACGAGATGTATACGAGGTATGTACTGTCTATGCACGAGTATCGTTCTTATGAACTTTGAACATCAATTTAGGCTTTCGTCATTTATTGCTTCTTCGTTCTTCTCCTTGATTATTTGGGCGGCGAGCGTTCGCTTCTCATTCGACTCCACGGACGACCACCTATTCCTGCCATATTTCCTGTCAGTCTTTGGCGACATGAAGTGGATGTTAGCGATCCATATACGTTTCTCTTCATCAAACGAGGCATTCTGCGTCAGTGGTCATCGTCTTTTTCATTGTCATGCTGACACAATTCCATTGACAGAGTATGTACAAGTCAAACCTGTGTTAGCAGTTGCCAGCCTCGTCATGAAAGCAACTGGAACATATCACGAGGGTGATTTCCGGGCCCGGTCCGGGTATCTGTATGTTTCAATCGTGTACAACGTGTCCATTTGCCTTGCATTGTATTGCCTTGCAGTCTTCTGGATGTGTGTAAGCAATGATTTGAAGCCATTTCGGTGGGTCAGCAAACGTTTGCTTGGGTATCTGAAATTCATTGTTCCGGACTTTTAGCCCTGTACCAAAATTCCTTTGTGTGAAGGGAATTCTCTTCTTTTCGTTCTGGCAATCCATTGCTGTCTCAACTCTGGTTGCGGCCGGCGCCATATCTAAACTTGGACCATACACGGACAGCGAACACATTTCCCTCGGACTCACCGACACTTTAATTTGCGTTGAGATGCCATTCTTCGCTATCGCGCATATGTATGCATTTTCATATAGAGACTTTGTCAAACCATCACCATCTGCTAAAGTCCACGTGGCACGGATGCGCATAGGGTATGCCATTCGGGATGCATTTGGCCTGAAGGATCTTGCTGAGGACACCAAGGCAACTTTGCGCGGAGAAGGCATCAATTATCGTGCGTTCGAGCCAAGCGAGGGCGGAATGCACATTGGGGCAGCGAGGGAGCGAAGGATACGTGCTGGCTTGCGCTATTCCGCGGGAGGAAAGCGGAAGTATTGGCTCCCGGAGGTGACGGGTCTAGGTGATGGAAATGCCGAAGGTGACCACAGGGGCTGGTTGGGCAACGATGGAGACGTCGCCGCTCCACTACTCGCGGAACATGCAGAGAACATTGTTCACTCTGCGCCAGACATGCAATATCAGGGACAACGGCAGACAATACGAATGCCCGGCGATGACGTGGACGTGGAGGACGACGATGAATATGCACTGCACTTCAATGATGGCCTGGCTATCGCGGATGATTTACTCTATGAGCATGCGAAGAATTATGTCTTCGGCGACTACGCGTACCCTGTTGTGGATGTCAGCTCTGAAGAGGCGCGCTATGCGATGTGGGCTGCGGAAGAGAGAATTGTTAGAGAAGGGGTGCACGTCAATGTCCACAGAAGTCACATTGGTGCAAGCGGTAACGGAGGCTATGGTGCAACGGGTACCCGGGCTGGTCAAATACGCAAGTACGAGAATGGTAAAGATGAAGTGTTCGCTTCAGAAGATCGTGAGGAAGGCAGGAGGGCAGAGGTGAATGCATCGAAGAAGCTAAGGTGGTCGAATACCAGAAGTAATGGAGCTCCATCACCACCGATCTCCGGCTCGTTAAGCTCCTCAGGATCATCATCCCGACATAACTCACCGACGTCTCATGAATCACGCCCGAGACTGCTGTCTGGAAGTAATGTTAACGTTCGCGCATCGTCCCCATATCTTCACTCTTCGCCTTCATACTCGCGATCGAACCTCGGTACTCCATCACCCCGCTTATTTTCTTCTGGATTACACTCCCACTCATCTCCTTCTCATCCTCCACTTGCGGAGCCAGACGCTGTAGACCTTGTTGTGCCCACCGATACGCTCCCGGTGCCCTCGAGTTCGCATGCTGCTCATACTTCTCTGCGCGCCACAGGCTTAAAACGTGTTTGGAGTCAGAAAGGGGATATCCGTGCTGAATCCACCGTTAGGTTAGAAGAAGAAAATAATGATCGTCGCGTCGTCTCCAATGAAGCCGACAAGGAGTATGATATACGGAAGGAGGAACTTAATGTTCCGGAGAGGTACGAGCCAGAGGAAATAGTACGCCCTCAGACGCCGCCTCCACACGCACGGGCTTGGACCTATGGTACCAAGAGTCCAGGGGAGGACGAAGAGAATCCGTGGATGTGAAATTATGATCAAAGGACTCAGATGCTCGACATGGCGAGATACCCTCTCATATACATAACTTATTCACGTTGTATAACATTCGTGTAGCTTTCTGTTGATTATCAAAGGATTTCTTTCAAAAGTCAGTTGCCGATAGCTAGGCTTAGTAAGATTTGTGTCTTTAAATTTGCTGCGGTTGTGTTTGCTGGCTGCTGTACAGCCTTAGACATATAGCAAAATGTGGCTATGCGAGCTGTGGCTATCCTATGCACTAAGCACTTCACGCACAGTTTCCCCTCTCTCTTCCGCAAGGCCGCCAAGGTTTACTCACGACAACCACCTAACATAATTACCACAACGAACCATGTTCAAGACGGCAGCGGCAAAAATTGCCCATAATTCGACGATTCCGGCGCTTGCAGGTAATAGCGACCTTAGACAGTTTCAGGATCTCATTAACGCGGAGAAGGTTGTTCTGGTCTCGTAAGTGTGCTTTAGACACTTCAATACGCTGTTAATGTTCTTGTCGCATCATCAAACAGAACTCAGAGACTAGGCGTTGATATAACCAAAGCCGCGGAGTCCCTCAGGGCGTGGGGGGTTGGTGAGGGTGATGATCTTGCTGTGAGTGATGCTTCTGCCTGGGTGTACGTGGTGCAGTTGCACTTCTTTCCATAACGTTCACGCAAAGCTTCATGGGATGCCTCGCATGTTCTGTGACGCTCAATGACGTATAGACGAGTTCCTTATCTTGGCTTGTGGAGCCAGATACAATATATGCCTACGTGACTTGACGGAGTATCTTATCCAAGACCAATGGCTCTATGTGCACCCGCCATGTTTTATTATCTACCTTCTGACAAAGAAACTGTAGGATATCCTCAGTGCATCTTCTACCCTGCTTGTTAACTTTGCTGCGGCACTGAGTGCGTACGCCAGCGCACATCATGGAATCCGCGACACCATGAAGTCTGTACGGACGCGCGAGGAAGCACTCGACGACCTACGGCGCCGACGACGGCGTGTTGGAGTCTCTGCGGATGGTGCCGAAAAGAAGCTCAACAAGATGAGCCCCGAACACAAAAATCTCTCAACACAGACTGACGCTCTCAATCGACTGCGTGAAGAGATGCGTGCAATCGATGGTGAAATTATTCGCGAAGAAGCTGAGTTGGGCGATTACAAGAGAAAATGTGCAAAGAGTTGGATGCTGGCCAAGTTTGGAGGTCTTGCAGAGTGCTGTGAGAAAGGTGTTGTAAGTCGTTTTGTTTCTTGTTGTTCACTCTCTGCCTCATTTTTTTACTCAGATTGTTGGTGACAGAGGCAAAGCTATAGTTGCAGTATGTTCTGGTGTAAGCTCGCAGGTCTCATTATGACGTTCATTTGTAGGAAATTACCGAAGACGTCACGCAACCAGGACTTCCTCGAGCATATTATAACGCTCACCCACGTGTCAGTGTCCTTGTATCTGAGGCACAGCGTGGTATTGCGCAAGTAGCCTTTACGACCGTTGCGTCTGGTCGCGCCAGCCAAGGAGAGTATGAGCATACATCGCCGACTCAGACCTCGCCACATATGCAAGAACAACAGTCATTATCGTCGAGTTCTCCCTATTTACCTGTTCCGCGGGTAGGAAGTGGGCTCCACTTGAGCGGCTTTGGGAGCGAATCTCTGGTGGGACTTAACGAGCTCAACCCGCACCAAAATATCTTATCATACCGTCATTCACAGCCTCCACCTCCACCTCCAAACCAGCGAACAGCATCTGCGGACGAATTTGGCGTCCCCACACCGACATCGACACACGCCAGTCATTTTGCTTCTTTTCCTGCGAGGGGCCCAAGCTTAGGCGTCCTGTCACACGACAGACCGACTCCCTCAAACCCTTCCCTCTCTTACTTGCGGCAAGCAGATACAATGGCTCCCTCAGCCCTTCCCGCGCATGATACCTCGGGTTCTTTGACTAGCTCTATCGCTGACGCTCTTGCTCGCAGCGATTCCAACTCGTTCAGCCTAAATCGTCCCTCACTTGATGATCCTGCGCCAAAGTACGAACCATTCGTTCCCGGATCAGGTGCTCCATACACTGGTGTTGGAGACACGCGCAGAAGCAAGAGTCCAAGTTTGCCACCAGGAGCTGCTCCTGCTGCAATTCAGGCTTGGGACGGAGGTCTGGGTGCTGAAATTGAGGAACGACGTACAGTGAGCGAAAGCAACGACAACGCGATGAGCGTCAGGAGTGGGAATGAACAGCTGACGAGCATTACTGGTCTGAGCGACAGACGGACATCCGAGGAGTCGGTGGGTGGTATGCCGTATGACCATGATGAGGAGGCCGAAGATGACCAATCGAATGAAATTGTACTGCAAAATATGGATGAAAGAGTGAGGCTTGGGACGGAGGAGGATGCAACAGAGGAAGAAAGTAGCAGACCTTCGCCCGAGACGACGGAAAGTCAGCGACGTATCCCGCGCGTGCCTCCGCCCCCCGTAGATACTGAGGCACCAACTCCACCAGATCATACTAGGATTGTGTCTCCGCCTTCACCGCACTTTACTTCTCCTCTACAGACTCAGGCGAAGGGTCATTCAGAAGACAGCGATGGAGACGACGAGCAGGCACGCAACGCAGCAGCTGCACGTGAGGTCTCTCGTGAATTGGATGCACTAGCATTCAGCGCACCTGCACCAGTGACGTACTCCACTCATCCAACTCAATCCCGAGCCCCACCGCAAGGTTCTTACATGTCAGGGCAGACTTACTCACCTCAACCACACCAACAACTGCAAATTCATACTCCTCAGCAAGTACCCAATCAGATCTCTCGAACGCCCTCACCTCTTGCGCCACCTAATGCACCGTTCGCTCACCGTTCCGTTTCGCCCCATCCTCATATTGGTGTTGACCCAGGCGAATCACGTCCTTTACCGATCATAGCTGCCTCGAAGAGTAGTTCGTCTCGTTCCACATCGCCTCGACTCCCACCATCTTCTCTGTCCAATATGCAATCATCTGCTTCCGTCTCCCACAGGTCACCACCTGAACATCCCCGTCCACTACCGCCGTTCTCGTCTCCCCTCATGACGAAGTCCACGTCTTCACTGACATCGGGTGCTCCCGGTGGTGCACCACGAATGATCTCAGCTGCTGCGTTCCGCAGGCCTGGTCGCAGTGGAAGCGAGTCTGGGTCATCATTAAGTCCGACAGGGCACGGCGGGCCGGCAGATACCTCACCTCTATCCCTCCTCCGTCCTTCTGCGTCGCCTGCGTCTTCGATGTCACGGAAGTCCGGGGCAATGCGAAGGCTGTCTGTAGTCAATCCAGACCCAATCCAAGTTGATGAAGACGAGTTCGATTATATATCGGCATACACGGGAAGAGACGAGCCGAGGAGTGCGCCGGCCCGGCAGAGTGGGGGATATGGACAGGGGAGGTATGTTAGTGACCTTGAATCTCGATGATCAAGACGAACACTTGTTCATGTTTAAACTTGGGACCGTATTGCTCCGGATATAAATGAGCTATGGACATTTTTGTATGTATGTGCTTTTTCAATTGTCCTACTGTTATGTTAAATTTCCTGTAGTTTTTTATTCACAATCAAATATGTTGTAACGTGCGGTATCCAATTGACCCTATTAGCTATTGTTGGACGGTGATCCGGTTGATCATTATCATTCAATTTGTGATACCATAGTAGTGATCACGCTTGACATGTTCTACCCTTGGCCCTGTTCACTTTTTTAAAAAATCAAATTTTCTGTCCTGTGGAGAGATATACTCTATGGAGGATTCTATCTAGTCTTGAGGACCGGTGTCCTCGTCGCATCTCTCAGAGGCCTTGTTCACTTGAAGCTCAATACCTGGAATTCTGTAAGGCCAAGAAACTCCCCCGCATTGTCATAATCGATCCAACAGATGAGTTCAGAGGTCATTGATGCATCGACCATCGTTAGGTTGTATGTAACTGAACATATCGGTAACATTCTACGGTACTACGATATCAACCTGATTTACTAGAGGAAACGAAAAGAGAAATCATGGTTTTAAAATTGATTATTCTGAAATAAAAGCTCCGAGAACAAACACAAAATCGTGGACAGCCATAGCTCCCATCCTTATCGCAACTCCGACCATATTTAGCACGATTCAGAGCGCACATACCTTTCAGACCGAAAGCAGAGCTCAGACTTGAACATCGCCAACCCACACTTCCCCACTACGCTCGTTCGAAGTAAGGAGGCCACCCGAGAGAACTACTCGAGTGTTACCTCCAGGAGCGGTATAGGACGTCGAGGGGAACCAGCCACGGCCCTCCGGAGTCGCATCACCTGCGAAATGAGGTCAGCTGAGGGCATGGCTGTGGCGCGGGCGCGATGAATGATTAACTTGCCTTCTATTATTAATTTCTTCCACCTTAGCCCACCTTCGCGCCACACCAGCGCCCAGGCATCGTCCCGGAATTTCCCGGCGCCTGCATGGCCTAGGTCGGAGGCGTCAGACTCGCCGTGGTAGAGCAATGCGACTCCGGTGCCATCAGGCGTGGAAAGAGGAACGAGACCGTGGACGGAGCGTGCTCCGGGATATCCCTGTTGCGGATCGCCAGACGGTACGATGGTTGTCCAGGAGTTGGTACTTGGTGTGTAAATATCTAAGGGTGGTGGTGTTGAGGTGGGGAGTTGATACCCAGCGAAACCTGGAAAAAAAAATTAAGATATTGATTAATTTAGGAATAGGGAAGGTGGAAATAGTGATGAATCCAAGTAAACCACGATAAACAAGGACAGAATAAACACGAGTCGGGCGTATATGAAAGGAAAAACAAAAGAGCATGAAGACTATCGGACTTCGTCTTTGATAATGTTACGAAGCGGGGATCACGAAATGTCGTAGGTAGGGTGCATATCAGACTTAGAAGAACAACATACCGCCGAATCGAATGATTACTTCCTCATTGGAGGAAGATGATGGAAGTTTTACAGAAGCGATGGCGGTGCCACCACGCGCGGGATCGGGAGCATCTGCGCAGAGAGACCACCGAGAAGATTGCAGATCATAAGAATGGAGAGTAGAGAGGCGACCAGAGGCAGGACAACCTGCATGAATGTACAATTTTCCCTAGATAAAAATCCCGATCAGCACAAGAACGATCTTCAGGAAGAGAATGCATCGTAGATTGATGTAACGCTCTGGATGTAAAGCACATTTGCGGACACATACATTAGCCAAGACGGAAGCGTGGAAGCTTCTCGTGACGGGCTCGTCGCCCTTGCCTTCGAGCTTCTCCCATATTACTTTATTCTGCAATATCTGCCCCTTCCATATGCCCGCTTGGTTGGAGTCAAGAGGTGCCATATCAACGCCCCCCCTTCCGCCCCACATGTACAAATTTTCACCATCGAACACCGTTGTCGCACCCACTCGGGGTTCCGGCTTCGACGATGCGGACAAGGTACGCCATAGGCCAGCATTATCCGCTACGGATTGCTGGATGGCGCTGTTCAGATCAAATACGTGAACGTCTCCATCCACAGGTATGCGTGGCTGGAACTCGCCAGAATATAGCAATAGGGTGCCTTTATTCGCGATGGAAGCACAGTGGGATGATCGTGCTTTAGTTGGGAGAGATGATAGGCATGTCCATCGGATCGACATCGTGTACGTTATATCAGGAACGGGGGGAGCGATTACGGAGTGCTGGCTGGTACTATGTACTAGACGATTAGGAAAAAGACAACGATGTGATAATCGTTGTGATGAATGCGACGATCAATGAGCGCTCAGTGGCGTGCACGCGGGAGCTTCCTTTGGACCAAGTAAGCCAAGTTGGTTCATTCACAGTTGCAGCCATAATTAACCAACAACTCACAATTAAACCTATTATACTCTCTCACTCCATCGCACACTTACACGCCTCCGGAGCTTCCATCATGATAAGGTCGCAATGAAAGGGTTTTGTCTGGAGGTGGGATCTCAGTTACCCAAGGGTTGAATGTTCATCAAGGCCGCGTAGTGCGACGTGGTTAAAAGTTGATTCCGCGTATCATTACCGTTAGGACTAGCCGAGGATTGCAAGGAACAATTTATTAATGCAGGACAAGTGCAGACCTGTATTGGGATAAGAAGGAGTAGAAGCGCTTCCGATGTCTAAAATTAGAGCTTTCTTTGATCCAATAATGGTTAGGCCTTTATTGTCTTGGCTTGCTTCGGTGCTATACCCAAAATACAATAAACGTACTCCCAGATTCGCCATGTCGACCCAAGAAATGTACGGTACACTCCCTCACATCTAATCACCCTTTTTGTTTAAGAGCCGTATGAATAACCACATGTTCACAGTGACTCTTCCCTCATCTGTTGGGTCCTGGAGTCCCTCTGTCAGACACCACACTTGCCTGCACTTTGTACGTACTACGTAGAGTCTGGCACCTACGACCATCTGTAACACATCATACTTAATACCCATCCCTTATGGCATCACACACATACCCTCCCCCTGAACCTCGTACTATTCCACCCCCAACCAACAACACCCTGTCATCAAAGGAGCGCTCTGCACTCGTACGCTCGACCAAGAAGATAGGTCGTATGCTCGGCGATATCCCGCGATTTGTCGATGATATCGAAGATCGTGAGTCTATCATTTCTTTCACTCACCTGCATAATACTGATGTCAGGTACAGAGTTCGTCATGGTAACGCCCCCAAGACCGCCCACTCCAGTTGGACCCTCCAAAGAAGACGCATGGAGAAGTCGCAAACCAACTCACCTTCCCCCGATCATGAGGCTCTCTGGTGGTATTGCCGTGGACTCCAGCTCTCCACCTATACCTTCACGTACTGCACCTGTACGATGCGCTAGCATCCTATCAACTTCCTCTGACAAATCTTCTATTCACGAACAGCTTCACACTCCATCCAAGGAGGCTGCACACAGGCGCAGCAAAATGGAACGGTTACGAAAGAGACTAGGTGAAGAGGTTCCAATGGAAGCCGTTTTCCCATCCACCACTAGCCCAAGGACAGCCGTCTCACATACCACGATGCCCGAACGCTCGCGTAACCATAGCCGCTCGCGGTCTGTGCACCCTTCACTTGACGATACTGTCACATTCTCGATAGATCAACACACTGTCGTTCTCAAAACCACCACACGAGCCAATCAGCCTCACTCACCTCACCCTCATCGTTCTCACCATCCGCACAAATCCGCACATCGCCCGCCGCCATTGCCTATGACCGGGCTACCACCGTTGCCCAAGTCCAAGCTTCCCCGCATCTCGGATGAAGTGGGCCTATTAGGCGTAAGGACCAAGACGGCGGCAGGCTCCAAACTCGGTGGTGCAGAATTCAAGGCTGCGAGACGTGCCAAACGGGAGGGCTTTGGTGAAGTGGAGATGGTCGGGTTCATGGGTGGTTTTTAGGCCTTGCTCTGGGCCTCCACCATGTGGTCATGGTGGATATATGCATATACGGTGCTCTCGCATGGAGCCATTCTATGCTTTGGGAATCTTGAGGTTCCGGTATGTGGATCTATACGAGTCTGGGTATGCCTTCATGTCGTCTCTATGCCGTCAATCGGTTTCTCTTCATGACAATACGCACTACACACCGTTGGGCTGGACCCTGTATCGACTGACGAACGTTGCCTCCAATGATGCTTTTTTACACTATAATGTCAGTAGTTCTAATATCTTCACCTAGTTTTCCAGCAGTCGAATCAGAATGTACTCTTGATATTAAGTAGTCGTGGGAATTACAATTTTGCGAATATGATAACCAGTTTATTCCGTCCGGTCCCGACTTACAATCATGATGCACATCATGATATCATAGCCATGGATGGCCGCAAATCAAAGATAACTTCGGTCGTCCATGACAATTTTCTGACGTCCCTCCACTGCGGCCGGCGAGGCCTTGAGCGCTTGAGCTCTGAGCGCGAGGGGCAGTATCATGCCATCATTGCGGCAATCCTTTTGAACATTGTCATTTTGCCTCATTTTGATGGGTGGCGACGGCGATGGTTCTACATCTATTAATGAGAAGCAAACCGTCTGCAGCAATACAATAGTCCGGAAGAACGTATTTCCTGTCAGATGCAAAGATGCTTCAATACGAGCCTCGTCACTTCCTTCCTCGTCGAAGAGTCTGAATCGGCTACCATGACAGCCTTGGTCCAGCAATTTCAAATTCCTGACCCCAGACATAGAAGTCGATGGGTCTCCTTGAGGTACCGACTCGGGCCCACTCTGGAAGGCTTTTTTTGTTTTTTGTATCCATTTTTGTCCATGGAGAGTAGGGAACTCTATGTAGGACAATACTATCTAGTCTAGGGGCCCTGTGCCCCTCCGCACTTCAGGGTTCGCGAATGCCCTGGTGTGAGGCGTACCCCCACCAGTCCGCCGTTCCCGCCGGCCGTTTTAGACGCGCAACCGTCTGGAAGGCTTACTAGCGCTCAACTCACCTCCGTCCGATTCTCATGGAACATGTGATAGAAGCCTTATATGTAAAAGGTGCGCAAGAGGTGCGTTGCGCCAGGTTACGCCCAATCATAACGTTCATGTCTATCTCAAAAGGTATTGCATTAATAACAGGGTCTGCTCAGGGAATCGGTCGCGGCATCGCTCTTCGGCTTGCACGGGATGGCTTTAACGTCGCTCTCAATGATTTACCCAACAAGGATGCCAAGCTGGAGGCGGTAGCGACTGAAATTGAAAGCCTTGGGAGACAAGTCTGCATCCTTCCCGCCGACGTGACTGTCGATAAACAAGTCAAAGGGATGGTCGATGACGCTGTTACAAAACTTGGTGGACTGGACGTCGTGAGTCGCTCTTCTTATCTCACTAGACATGTTTCATGGATATTCATCGTGTAGATGGTCGCGAATGCTGGAGTGGTGGAGTTTGCCTCGCTTGTGTCATGTACGATTATCTCGGTCAAAGTCTACGATTGACGGTTTCTCATGTCCTCCGCTAGCGACTGTAGAGTCATGGGACCGCACACTCTCAGTAAACGCCCGTGGAGCTTATCTATGTTACAAGTATGCTGCAATACAAATGATCGAACAGGGACGTGGCGGTCGAATTATTGGTGCGAGCTCAATCGCGGGCAAAATGGGTGCGTCATATAGACATGAATTTGCTTGAGCATTCTTATCCAAATGACCAAATAGGCTTCGCCCACAACTCCCCATATACAGCGAGCAAATTTGCGATTCGAGGGCTCACTCAAGCTGCAGGTAATTCCTAAGATACTCGCATGCACAGCTTCTAATAAAGACCCTTCGATAGCTGTTGAACTTGGTCAATATGGGATTACTGTCAATGCATATGCTCCGGGCGCGATACAGACTGATATGAGTAAGGTCGAACTAATTTTCGATTTCTCAGCTCTGATTCCTCGTTAGTGAAGATCACGCTGGATGAGTCTGGGAACGTCAATTATGAACAGCTTATCGACAATGCTAGCTCGAGGAAGTGGTTCATGTCGGTAAGCAGAGCGTGGTGTCAAACTTTACCCGGATACTGAACACCTGCTTTCTTCACAACCTCGATAAGTTGGCTGAGAATGTCCCCATCAAGCACATCGGACAGCCTGAAGATATAGCTAGCATCGTAAGCTATCTCGCATCGAAGGAAGCGCACTTCATGACCGGTCAGTTCATGCCTTTATTGCGCCTATCTCCTGCTCATGTAGCATGTGATGTCTCCAGGTCAATGTGTAGGTCGATTTGTTTTATTGCATACAGCTGATCTGAGCTTTCTCCTAGATTTCTGTCGATGGGGGAATGAGGATGGGCTGAGAAAGCCTTGTAAACAAACAGTTGAGTTATTACTCCTCGCAGATGCTGTGGTGTGATTGCAATGCAAAATTGGGGGTTTCTTCCCTAGACTGGTCAGTGGTAGTGCTGATCGAATCACCGGGAAGGTCTAAAGATCAGAACACTTTGAGTATTTGTAAGTGACGTTAGCCAAGTAGCAGAGACTTCGAGTCAGAGTCCATATCTAGTCGGCGCTTATCGTCGTCCATTCAGATCTCTAGCTTAGACAGAACGTGAGTTCGAGCCTCCATCATGACATATGCATATACCGTGCTCTCGCATGGAGCAATTCTATGCTTTGGGAATCTTACGGTTCTGATATGCGGATCTACGCGAGTCTGGGTATGTCTTCATGTTGTTTGTCTATGCCGTCAATCGTTTTCTCTTCGTGACAATACGCACTACACACCTGGGCTGGCCCATGTACCAACTGACGAACGCTGCCTCCAATGATGCTTTTTACAATATAGTGTCAGTAGCTCTAATATTTTCACCTAGTTTTCCAGCAGAAATCAAAATTGATTGACATTGTGCACGTGGTCGTGGGCACTACAATTTTGCTTCTGTCAAACACGAATATAACCAGTTTATTCCGTCCCGGGCCATCGATGGCCGCAAATCGAAGATAACTTCGGTCGCCCACAACAATTTCCTGACATCCCTGCACTGCGGCCGGCGTGGCCTTGGACTCGAGGGGCAATATCATCCTGCGGCAATCTTTTCATTTTGATAGGTGGCGACGGCGATGGTTCTACATCTATTAATGAGAAGCAAACTATCTGCAGCGATACCATCAGCGAATGGATGATTCCTTGATATTGTAGCCGTGAGAACTACAGTAGAATGCAATTTTGCTTCTCCTAAATAATATCATTTATACGGGGAGAATTTTTGGTTGGGAATACAAGACCATTGATGTCTGTAAGTCCAGAGCAACATGAGCAGTTCACACAAATGTTGTTGCTTTCTTCTATTGCAGTAGATGAGGGGTAGTAGCACACTTCTGCCAATTATTTTGCGCATTGTCATTTTGCCTCATTTGTGCTCTGAATTACGGCCTCATTCAAGACATTCTCGCGAAAAGTAGCTTTGACACTGCTCAACGAAAGTAGAATAGCGTGGGACTTCTTAACAAAGTCGCGATATGCTGCAATCATAACACACAAGGGATAGCAGCGCATTCCTCTCAATGTTGTTGATTGTTCTCGTTCTTCATTAAAATTAAGATGCTATCTCAGATTATCCACGGCCTTCTCGTGAGAAGTAGCTTGGCCCTGCACAAAAAATGTAAGATGGCATTATACAGTACACCATAAAGTCGTGACACGGCGCCATCACAGTACACAAGGGATCGCAGCATACTCCCCTTGACGTTGTAAACTGTTCTCGTTCTGTCTTATTTTGGCGGGCTTTCCAAGGCTGTTTAGAGTCTCCTCAACAAACGGCCGGGCAAAGTCTAGATCTCTACTATTAGCGTCCAAGAGGCATAGTTCACTACTACATCATATTTGCACCGTTGGAGAGTCCATCTCTTCGATAGAACCATTGGTACTTTCCTGTATTGCCTGGCCTATATACTAATACATCAGATATCGACAAAACTGTCCGAGTTCACCGTGATAATCCGAGCCATCATGGCTGCTTTCGGGATATGCTGCTGGTTTACTGTCACGGTAGTACTGTGACAACTCAAACATCAATTTGAACGGTGTCCGAGTAAGTTAACGGCTGGCACCCCTGGTTATTATGAAGTAGATAAATTTCAGTATCTTGCTCCACGAGCCACTGTGACAAGCTCTCCCTCGCGTAAGCTTTGCTGGATCACATCTTTACAAGTAGATGTCTAAGTCAAAACGTTTTGATTCCGTGAATTTCCCATCTGGTCCGGTCCATAAGCTAATAATATGACCGTGTAGTCGCCAGCTTTGCAAGATGAATTTGCAAGATGAAGAAAATAAGCCGCGTTTCCCTCGAGGTAAAAGGTCGACGTACGAGCAAGATAAGCGGCAATACGCGCATGCCCATATGTATGAGGCCCAGAATGAGCCACCACTTCTTTCTGACTTAGTTCTGATATACGCTCGCCCTGCGACCCCACTGCTGTGACGTTCAGCGAGATATCCCTAGTGCTCCGCGTGGTGAGTATGACTTGTGTCTTGTTGCGTCTGCCAACACATGTACTTGTGCTGGACCGTTTGTCGATACTTGTACTAGTATTGTGCACCCGCAGGTGATATTGCGGATTCACCATATACGTCGGATGCGTGCGATTACCCCCAGCCGTTTTATTAGTCCACACGCTGTCAAATCTGGCATCATCAGCATTTTCATTTTTGATCAAGTGGAACAAATGAGAGGACCTTCTGCATATCCCTCGTATTCCAAGACACCATCACATCCGACGAATAGGCATACGCAGTGACCGTGAATCCGACTTGTTCAAATTGACCGTCGTAGCAGGCTAATATGGAGCCTGAACTTTGGGTTTGGAGTTTGGAGGTTTTGATGCGTGAAAGGAGGTGTGTGCTGTTTGTGTAGTTGCTCTGTGCGTTGCGGTGTGCCTGTTGTATCGATCTGATATACTGCAGAGAGGAAGAAACGCACCTTGAGCGCAACATGTTCTGGATCTCTCAAAACTGTATCATCTTGAGCATTAATCGCGATGTATTCATTTGTGCGGCGGGTGTCGCAGAGGTGACGTGTTAAGAGTATCCATGTTTCTGTTTCTGTCGAGTCCCTTCCGTTCTTGTTGGTTTCGTTTGTGTGTGCATGAGGCGCGGAGTCATTGGTTTTTTGATCGTCCAGTCGGAGGTGGTGAGTAGAAGCTGTGTCCGATGTGCGTTAACGCTGCACCAAGTGATTTGAGAGAAGATGTACCTTGTGATAGATCTTCCACATTTTCAAGCTGCCAAGATCTGTGGATTCGTTAGAGTATGGCACACATGTGGGATTGAAGACGCACCCATGAAACGTAACACAACTCCCAAACAGACTCGGGTTCCAGCTGATATACAACCCCTCGAATGTTGCGCATATGTCGTCCAAGCGGATATTGAAAATCCCTGTTTACATCTGTTACATCTACGGGTAGAAAGGGAGGAGGGGACTTACTTAGACAGCTCCCACTACTGCTGCACTGGCAACACTGGTATCATTGTGAACGAGCTGCTTTACTAGTCATGGTAAGCGTCCGATCTGGAAACTACGTACTTATTCACAGTAGCGTGTTCCTCACAGTAGTCCCAGAGCCCATGGTGTGAAGGTTGTCCTCCAACCCTTCTTCAATCGAAGCAGATTAGCTGGCGGAATCCGACACTTTAGAAACAGAGGAGTGGCGGCTTGTACGAGTTTAACTCCAAAGCTCAAGAGTTGGTCACAGGTCTCTATCGTGACCTGTGACCTGTGACCGCCTGATCAGACGCTCATATTTACCCATCTTGTGCAGTGACGGTGCTGTGACTTTCTCCTACATTCAATCTGAAGTTGAAGACCTTCTAATTTGAAAATAAATTCAATTCGAGTAATAGAATGTGATTGGAAGGAAGTTTTAGAAAGAGAGATGATCCTCGAACTCATCCTCATCGTCATGCCCCTCGCTGTCCAATGTTCCCTCTACTAAGTCCCCTTCTTCACTAATGTCATCCTCGAGTTCTTCCTCTTCGTCGAGTTCTTCATCATCCTCGTCACCGATGTCCTCTTGTTCATCTTCGCCAGCGTCCATATCCTCCTCGCCGTCTACAACTTGAACATCCATGGCTTCGGTCCTTACAGTTGAATCTGCCATACCAAGAGCATCCCGTGTGATTCTCCGAATCGTGGCTGAATGACCGATACCAAAGTGAGTATAGCAAATGAACATGTCTCTATCAACGAATCTAGATGAAAAGCTTCGTCAGGATTGATGCAAGGGCAAGTAAGGTTCACACTTGCATCCCGACATAGTGTTCCTCCCAATCGTCTAGTTCCCCCCGAGGATGTGCCAGTGAATTCCCGTAGCGGAGCGAACTTATACCACGTCCAGATGCAAATGCCGGAATCAAATGCGCCCCTCTGATGACTTGCCCTGGATCGAGGAAGCCAAATGCATCTGGGTCCGATTCTTCCACGAATGCAAGCTTCGGAAGGCGAGCATGGTTCATGCCAGATTTATGGGTCCGTAGAGGTGCCAGCCATCTAACCCATAGAACGTCCAAGTGCCGCTTCACAGGTGGATGCTCGTCTTTAATCCATACCTCCATATGATAAATGTGTAATACTCGGGCATACCAGTATGGGTGCCTAGGGTTCCTCTCCCCTGACAGCACCATAACGTCCCCGTGAGTTCGGGGATTGATGACGTCATACTCACGCCTCAAGTCATAGGTGGTGTAATGCACCTGCATCGTTTGCACCGAGTACATCACATTGTTTGGGATGATCACCGAGTTACGTTCCTGGTCAGTGAAGACATGATTGCAATAACTAACATCGAGCTTCCGCAGCCTATAGAGGATATGGTCCTTTAATTTTGGTATAAATTCCTGACAATCAATGTGAGCAAGGTGTACTAGGCATGTCCAACGTAACTTCTACCTTGACAGCTGGATCACCCTCGTGTTCCTGGATAAATGTGATTATTTGTACTGCGTTGTTCCGATTGGTCGCAATATAATGATGCTTTTCTGGGGACATTGAACAGGAGGCGTTGGCTCCTGATTGATTGCCAGAGGACGAGGTGCCTCCTACTGCTGCCCGCCGCAAAACCCGACGCCTACGTTCATGCTTTGCCAGCTGCGCTGGAGTATCTAATTTGTTAGTCAGCGGATAAAACGCCTTCAGGGCTCTGTGAGCGAGCTCTCCCTAGGTCAACTTAACTTCAGATACGTAGTGGAAATGTCAACGGTACGTACAATCTGAGTGGTGAAGGAATCTGTAGTGCCAAAGAACCGGATGGTTCTCACATAATCTCCCATCGCATGGAATTTATAGGTACCTAAATTAAACTTCTTCGGCCTAGCCCCACTCGATTCAGCTGACATTGTGTTAGCTTCAGGATGTTGAGCAGCCTTTCATTGGCGTGCTGCTCTCTCCCTGGGTAATTCCACGGCGTTGAATGCCGTGCAGGTATAGCGTTGGAACTTTCTCAGCATCCCAGACAACTTCTTGAAGGTTTCATCCAGGAAAGTGACGGTGGACTCGGTGTGAAGCCTAAGCTTAGCGAGCGCATGCCATTGGGCAAATCGATACAGTAGAGGTTGTATTATCGCATCGTGGTGTTTGGGAAACAGCCCTTCAAAGGCCGGAATGGCACACTAGAAAGGCGTCAACTAGCATAAGGCAGGAAATAAATAACCAGCAAACTTGTAAGATATCTTCTAGGTCGCGTGCTGCTAATCTCTTCATGTCAGAGGTATTATTTGAAAACTTGCGGATTACACCATTGCCGAAAGTCGGAATCTCTCGAAACCTATGGAAGTTTGGGAGTCGACTACTAGTTAGCAGGTAACAAAGCTTCGTGTAAACTCTTCATACCTGCTGTCCAGGGCTGCCACCAACTGACTGCCGCCAGGGAGTACATAGAGCAACCTGATGAGGTGCGTAAATAGCGCTTTCCAGGTGCCTAATTCACACTCATGCATGAAGTCGACCACCAGCATGCCAAACGCATCAAGGCCAAGCGGTCCGAGCTTTTTGACAAACTGATTCTACAGTATATCACATGTAGTCAATATAAAATGTAAGGAAGTAGTTGCACTCACGACAACAGGCACCCACGAGCCCTCACCAAGACTATGTTCTACCTTTGTACCGTCAACAGTACTTCCGTTACAGATAAACTCGCGAGCCTTTTCAACCTTCGCCAGAACATATACCCGAAGGTTTGTCATTCGGTTTTTCATGTCCCTCACAAGCCCAAGAGAATTGAACAAATTTTTCGGCGTGAGACACCGGGGGCAAGGGCACAATCCCATGTCCTTGATGGTGGCGATTAATACCCTGTGAATTAACAGCATTTCAGCATTCTTGAAGCGGGTGTGCGGAGGAACGTACTTTTCAGGGTAATCCGCGGAATATGTGAAGATCCGGGGAAAGACCCTTCGCAGTACTCCGTCAGCACATTTAAGAATGATGCCATGACGATATGCGTGAATGAAGTCTTCATCCAATAAGATTTCCCAGCAGGACTGGAACACCTCCCGGCGGCAGTGGGCTTGAAGAGACGCCATGCCAGTCTTCGATATGCGAGATAAATTACTCAAAATGTCTTTGACGCTATCAGGAAGCTGACATCATCAGCAGCAAAAGGTGACTACGGCGAACACATGAAAACTCACTGACGGAAAAAATCCTACTAGGTGGCATGCTCCCGATTGGGGTGATGACCTTGCGTATTTGGTTAGGTTTCCGAAATACAAGTACAGTGGCCAAGCCTTGGCAGTCCCGAAGTTTGCCAGATGAGTGGTGTCTGAAAAGAACATCAGACCAGCAATGACGCGTTTCAGTGAACAACCGGGCTCCCTGGGTAGTTTCTGAATGTTGTCCTGAGCTTCCAGCCATGCATCGGAGGCATAGAGCTCGTCGAATACGCGTTCTTTGTGGCCATCCAAAGGATCTTTCCACAACCGTTTGAATGGGAGGAGATGAAACGCTCGAGCTTGAACATCTGCAAATGCAGCGCGTAATACTTCAACAAGTGGGCGATAGTGAAATCCAGGAATAGTATAGGGCTGAGGACCGTCCTCCTTTGATCTCGTTGGAATATTGATGGTAACACCGGTCTCGATCCAATCATCAGGAAAGATAATCCTTTTCCCATGCTCATCTCTATCCAGCTCTCGCAAGCTTCGCTTCACGGAGAAATTCTCAAGGTGCTTGGGGTCAAAATCTTCCGCCAAGATTACATCCTTAACCAAGCGCGAGACTTTAGTTTCAGACAAGAGAGCACTCCCGGAATTCATCCAGGACATGAGTCGATGAATAGTCATATTAGGAAAGGGGTAAGGCGCTGAAAAACCTTGTTGTTGAGAATCGGTTTCTTCAAGTTGGCTAACCGATGGGGACGTCCTTGAAAGCAACGAGGATGGTACAAATTTATCCGGCTCGAAGGAGGGACGACGAGGGTACAGTCTGCAGAGACCGAATGAGTTATAGGTGGTCTTTAGAGTGTCCCTGAGCGTCAGAAGAACACGCTGAATTCTGGACCGAGTGGGTAACGAAGTCGAGCTTTGAGCCGACGAGAGGTTGGTATTATCCGAGTGGTTAAGGTCATCGCATGAGACGTCAATATCACAGAAAGCTCTCGGAATTCTCCTTATTGGTAGTCTAGTTTCCTCTGAAAAATGACAATTGATGAAACAGCTGCAACTCAAAAGGGACACCAACCTAGATCATAGTTCGAGGCGTTTGCTTCCTCATATTCCATCTGCGAGTCTGTAACAGCTATAGACATGGGCCTAAAGCGCCTGCAAGGAGCAATTGGCTTCAAACTTGAGCGGTCTCTCACGCGTGCGTGTCGAATGGCAGATATTCCCTGAGGTCGACAATGACTGGAGGTTTAAATTTGAAGCAGAAGGACACCCACTGACGCGGCATTGCCTGAACGAGGCAGAACCAAGCTTGAAGAAACGGCCTCTCTCGCCCGTTCTTGTCTCCTATGGCTAGCTAGAGTGCTAGATTTCTTATAGAAACGGCATGTCGCGCGATGCCTGCTGAGTCCTCGGTTGTCAGTGGCCCTTTCCCAAGAACAACCCAGTGCGCCACAAGACACCATCATGATTAGAAGAAAAAAGAATAAGCCAATCCAGAAACGTTCAAAAATGCGCATTGCACATTCAAGTTGATCTCAGTAATTGGATCATGTATAGTGAGACGGTCACTGACCAGGCCGATGTATAACAAACAAGTCACTCAGCGTGACGCGAAGGGCCATATCAGGCAGGCAGTGACTGCTAGGAAAACACTACTCCCGCTGAGTTCAGGATAAAATGAACTTTGAACGGGACAGCGAGCACGGAAAAGAATCCCAGCTGATGTCACCGACTCTCGCTGTATTGCCGTGATCACTTCCAAATAGTAATGATAAGTTATTGATGTACTACTATAGGGTACATCTTGTACTATCATCATCGCTTAAGAATCGTGACCGTGTCCTGGTCAATGGTAGTGAATGATGATGCAGTACTGGTAAAGCTGCTCTTCTTCTTCTTCTGCTGCTGCTGCAAGGGAAAATAGTGTTGTACATACTTGGAAAGGGGAATGATGGGATGTACATCGCTGACATGCATGATACCCAGGGTGGTCTATTTGTACTGCCATTTGAACTACGATCGCGATCAATATTGCAGAACACTGCAGTATATAACATTCACCTCACCTCAGGCAACTGTGATCATATTATTCCCATCTCCTATGATGGAATCCAAGTATTTATTGAAGCGATGCTCAACATCTTCCGAATCCGTGCCGACAGGGTCCTCCAAAGACAAGTTCCGCTCAGCACCAATCTCTTCTAAATGATCAAGCTGCTTGTCCGCCATACTGTGTGCCGTGATGTCATTAGTATACGCAGCGATAGTGAAGTCTGCATCATCTTCGAGCTGCTGATGGGAACGTTTGACCATCGCTGATTCGAAGAAGGTTGCCTCTGCAAGGCTATCAAGATAACGTTCCGTGTTCTCCTTGAGAATCATTTGAAGGAGTACAGCATGTCTTTCAGTTGACTCAAGGTCCCACGCTGTTGCGAGAGCATGCAAACGCTTGCTTTCAGCATCAGCTCGCTTTGCTATGGCAGCTGACTGCAGAGTCGCGTTTGACATGTGCCACACGCCCCTTTTGAAGATTTCTTTGCCCTAGTATGATGATATGTCAATGACCGGATGTGCGGTACAAATGAAGCTAATATACCTGCTGGACATCTATCAGACTGATATCAGCCTCATTGCGCTTCAGGATGTTTTTCGCCAAGAAACAGTTCTCAAGGGCTGTAGGAACATGCTTTCCCGGCTGATAGGGCTTGAATCTTGAGCTAGCACGTTTTGCATAGCATGACATATGATATATCACGGGTGGAAGGCATGCAACTCTAGTAGAGCTGGGGTCTATGGTTCTCATTCCCCTACTAGACTTATTGCGACGACGCTGGATATGATGAGCACCGTCGTGCAAGGATTGATTATCACTAGAGTCGAGTATGTGAGAAATAGGAGGAACACTAGGTGAAACACTAGGTGAGGACATCATTGATAGTGGAGAGGCATTGCCACAAGGAGCGTAAGGATCTTGGTGAATGTTGACCGTGTCTTTGTCTGATTTCGACACCTTTCAATACTAGTGTGAGAATATAAGCGGACTTCTAAAACGACTGGCTCCCGCGGTGACTACAGTTAGTAATTCATCGATTGCCCTTGAAGTGCAGGAAGCTGTGATCACATACTTATAAAGTATTTGTGAATGATCCGAGTTTGGTATTACCGCACCATACCTTTGTCATTCGTATGATCACACCACAAATTGTGAAACTAAGGGCACTTACTATAGCTGGAAATGTTACGCTTACCTTTGGGGTGTACCAGTATTCAAGCCTTGGGAACGTTCAGCCACCGTAGACTTACAAGGCCGCAGGGAAAAATTTGCCCGAACTGCGGCGTGAAATCCGCAGTCCAACGTTCAAACTCCAAACTTCTGAACCAAATTAGTGTGCCACATTGATAATCTATTCTGAAAGGCCTGAATCATTATGAAATTTTGGATTACGAATTCGAACCTAGTGACAGAAAGTCCATTTGTGTTGGAAAACTATGAAATGTGTGGAAGTTTCACATTGAGGTCTTGAACATCAAGGGCATGATGGTTATGGAGCGTCGACTCGGAAACTTGGCGAGCCCGGAGTATGAAATATGAAAGTTCAGTGCTTTCAGTGACAAGGAAGGTTATAAATAAATACAAACAGAAACAACGTGTCACTACAGCAGAGTCATGTTACGTGACAGTCACGTTTCATATCATCAATTGGAGGAAAGTCACTGGGAGTACTAGTATTAGGGGCCAGTGTGGTAGTAGATTTTCCTCCGGAGCTATAGGAGCTATACAGGGCCATTGTAGTTTTCTGATGAATGCTGGAATGCTGGCAACTCTGAGTTCAAGAAGACGACGGTCAAGGTAGGTTTTCACACGAATCACAGCTTCTCTCAGCGGACAATACTTGGTTTGACGGATGGGAAACTTAGCAGATATTTGTGCCGAAAAAGGCAGGCATGTTGATGGCGTACTAGCTAGTAAGTAGGACCTTCAATTCGATAATCATTAACATCGTATATTACAATCCTCGAGTCTACATACAGTGGAAATTTACTTTCAAGCACAACCAGAACCCACATTAGCGAAGTATCACGTTGCCAACTAAATGCTATTAGCCAAGCGCCCAATCGGAACCTGTCGTGCCGGTGATACTACCAGGACCTCTGATCATTAACGAATCGGCAATCGTACGTACGCAACTATCGACTTGCTCGTCAACTTGGGAGATCTTGACCATGTAAAGATGTGCATTTAACAGAACATCACGGTTCGCCTCGGTCTCGCCAGCGCATAGATGGGTGGACAAGAAGTTGGAGAGGAAGAGGGCGAGGTTAAGAACGAGCTCCTGACCGGCGTCTGATGCTGAAGAATATGCCGCAGCGATGTTGGTAGAAGGAGCGATTGACGGAGGTCATGACCATGGCAAACAATATGACAAATTTTGGATCATATTCTGGGCCCACGTTCAATCCAGCAATCTCCGCTAGACATTTGAGCGTCACATTCCTAAAGTCAGGGGGCTTCTAGGAACTGCAGATTAGTTAACACAGTACCTTTGACTGCGGGAATGAGGATCTCTCCAAATGTCAGGAACCCTTGTCCATGCATCAGGATGGTCTTCAAACTGCGTCAGTACGTGTTGAGCCATTTGTTGCTAATCAAATGAATGTAAGTTCATCGCAAATGGCGAACGGTAGCTCCACCACTCACTTTCTGGCAATGGGGTGACTGATGAAGACACCTGCAGCGAGAACTTCAAAGTTCAGATTCCGGGTGATTACTTAATCAATACCTAAAAGGGTGCCCTTCAAGACGGCGCTCATCGACAATCCCAAACCGCAATATCAATCCATATCACGGTATAGAAGTGTCGATGGGACCGCAGAACCCTGTAAGTGTCGATACGATGGCTTGTTCCTTACTGATCGTCCATCCACAGGATAGTTGTCGGATTCCAAAGAAGGGGGAGGTGGGGAACGTTATTGTAGTTGTGATTTGGCCATCGGTCCCGGGCTTCAGGAGGAAAATAAGGTGTGTAATTAGTTCGATCACCACGCGCGCTCACTAACTTGGATAGTCCTTACCTGAACGCGGATCCGTTGGCGAGGAAGAAGTATGACAGGATCGACAAGGCGATTAGGCTGGTGCGAAGGAACGCTGATCAGGGTCGATGATAGCACGGAATAGACATAGTCCCTTGCCGCTCCTACGCGATGCAGTCAATTTAGAGAAGTCTGGAGAATATGGATGTTAGCATACCGTGCTTCGTTTTCAACCTCTATCAATTTCTGTGCATAAATCTCTGCGGCACGTCGGTTGATGTCTCTTGTGTGTCAGGGAAACCGATGTCCCAGTAGCCGGATGGTGTCTTGGCACGATACCAATGGTGCTGATGTCATGATATCTCTTTCTTGTAGTGTTCGATGTCTTCGCGGTTTTCCTTGCAGTCTGAGAGGGAAGGGTGAATGGTGAGTAATATCACTTACTTCTCTGTCAAGGCAGAATGCTCATGGAAGTATAGCGCAGCGCATCACGAATGAGACGTACAATTGGGTGTCTAACCCGCGCTGGCATTCTTCAGGGGATAAGGTTGTTGCAACAAAATGGTACGATTCTTCACGCTCGCTTAAAGCTGGCGAAGAATAGGAGTTCCCTGTTCCCACTGTCCACGCCTAGTCACAGGTCGAGGCAGGGGCTGGAAAGCGTTTGGTGTCAAAGAAACTACCTGTGGGGTGGATAACCTTTTAGAACTAGACGTTACAATTAGACCTCAGTCCAGAATAAGTGACTATCCATGAGCGTGATGGCAGTATATGCGCCTCCAGGGTCTTGTGCGCATATAGTGTGGTCTATTCGCCATTTCACTTCTTTGGCCTGCCATTCCAACCATTCGTCATAGCGCGCTGTCCAGAAAGACTTTTGATGCAACAAGGCACTTCGTGAAAATCCGCAGTGAGGGTAGTTCAGACGCTGCGAGTGGGGACGTGACACAGGAGTTGGAGTTTGCACCTTTGTTTCTTGTGGAAGTGTCGCATGGCGAACAGGTTCTGGTGCCAATGGCTCCATGGTGACTGTCTGAAGTGAAGGTGGGAATGGGACGCATTGGAGCTCGTCTTCGAAGTTTGTCTGGGAATTGGTGCTGTGGTCATTCACGTGGAGGATTGGTAGACCAATGAGAGGCTCGTCGTCGCTGTCCTCCTCCTCCCTGAATTTCGCGAGTGCTGGGCCGCTACGGAAGAGGTTGCGTGCCCACTTGACCCTCGAAAGCGGCAGTTCTGCGTCTACATCTGATTCAGAGCAACCAACAGCGCCGCCTTCTTCATGAAAGAAGTCAAGTCTACTAGGAGAGCGTGGCGGAGAGATCAAAACATCTGGCTCTTCTGAAGATAGAGGAATATCTGTGTATGGTTCGTGTCTCGCGTCCACTAGAAGGTCCGAGGCATCGTGCACGCCAGTGAAATAAGGCATTACTATGTAGCAATTAGGTATGATGATAACAATAGACGCGCAGGGATGGCGGAAAATAGCGGATGTGACGATAGCCTTCGGTGGACAAAGGAGGAGATTGAGTAACGATTTTTCAAAAAATGGACACGCACACCACGACAACATTCACAATTGTCAGAAAGCATCTTTTTTCACCCCTCACCCCTCACGGCTCTTGACCACTTCATCATGCTGAAAGTCCACGCCATGATTGGGTTCTTTGCTTATAGTGAAGCATGAATGATAGTGGTCGCATCACTGTTGGTTTGAATCAGGGAGTCAGTGAGCAGCAAGCATGGTCTGGAGGAGACTTACGTAGCCTGGGCATATCGCCCGCGTCTCTTGGGTGGATCTCGACGCAAGGTGGTACTCTGTAACATAGACGTGCCTGCATTAAGATTGGTGAAGTTGCCAAAGTATGTGATTTGATAGGCACGCACCGGTGACTCGAAAGTAGCGTGGAAGAATGAAGCAATATGCAACCACTGCAAAGCGGGTGTGACAGTGTCCCTGTTGATCAGGAGGCCTGTGAAGAGGAGGCTGCGACACTGCCGGCATTTAGATACGTAGGATGGCTCACTTGAAAAGCATGACCAAGGTGCCAACTAAGCTAGCCATGTTGGTACTGGCAAATGCTATTCACAATAGAAGGATCACGCTTGCTGTTACTATCAGATTGAATAGCATGAGCGACAATATAAACTTCCAAAAAGCCGGAACTGTGGGCACGAAACCAACTAGGCCGTAAACAATGCCACCAAAGACAATTGGAGGCACCGAGCGGAGTGGCAGGATATCAAACAAAACCTGACCAAGGGCCAAATTAGAAAACAAATATGGTATGATCAAATTGATGTTACCTTTGAAGAGAAGTAAGTGAAGGTCGAATAGTAACATTTGCTCTGATATATATGGAATGAGTGCGGGAAACATGTTTTGTAAGAATCTCCCTACCTTTCACGCATGAAAAGGACTCGCTCGTTCGCGAATGATAAGGCTAGATAAGCATGAGAAGCCGAAGAGCGACAATGTGAAGAAGAAAAGGCCTGAATCCTATCAGTCAAATAAAATAAACTGTCACAAGACTACTCACCAAACGATAGCTTGACGACATCAGAAGGGTCGATACTACTTTGGACATAGCGCAAGTTGGTCAGTTCGGCCGTGCCTTGGGAGTATGAATGGGACGGAAGCGTGATCTCTCCAACCCAGACTCCAGTTTGTGCAGTAGCCACCACGTCACCAGTCAACACATCTCCACCCGTCTTCACTAGAACAACTGTCCGCGCGCCGTTTGCTGCGGATCTGCTTAAGACAGCACCAAACCACCGACCTTTAGGGAGTCCAGCGACCAGCTCAAGGGATGAGACATGTGTATTATATTATCCCAGCGTGGGTGCAAAATGAATGAAGACGCAGGAACGAAGGAAGGTGAGTAGTATACTGCAGAGGAGTGTAGGTGCGGAATGCGCTGGGCAGGCTTCGAAGTCTCAACGAAGTTGGCATCATCGATGGGGTCCAAGGTAGTCGGATTGATGAGGGAGTCTCCAAGCACCTGCACCCATGTCTGGCCTGCGCCTGCAAATACTGCATGCTCGCCAGATTCATCCAGCGCGAGCTGGGTGAAGGCACGCACGCGCTGTGGGCCTGATTCGAACTTGCGTACATCAGTCTTCATACGCCGAGTTTCCGCGAGTTTCTTCGAGATCTGCACTGTGAACGGGATCACCTTTGGCGTAAGGTTTATGTTGTTAGTGGCTGTGGCCGCAGCGACAAGTTCCCCCTCTGAGTTATACGCCAATGGGACATGCCACATCTGCCCAGCAGCCCAGATGATGATACCCGGCGAGGACGAAGAGGGCGTGAATGCAAAGGACGGGTATGTACCCATCGGCGCGTAGATTGTGGAGAGGTCGTAGGTGAGCCCATGCCAGATATGATGCAGAGTGCCCGTATTAAGATCCCTGTCGAAGGAATGTCAGTTATAGTACACGTATACAAGGATATCGATGCAAGAACTATGGTGATTAAGAACACTGGAGAGATTACACGAACTCTGAAGGAACATCATAAGTAAATCACCACTCACTTATACGAGTGCTTCCTTATCCCTCACACGGCGCAGGAATGCAAGTGTGTGTCCATCACGCGAGAGTATAGGCCGGCTTGCACCACCAGGGAAGGCGTCAACAAGCGTCTTTTCCACGCCCGTCGTCGAGTTGCGCTGGAAGATCGCGTAGATACCCCGATGGACACCTGCATGTCTATGAAAAACAAGTTCATAGTGCGTTGATGAAACTGCTAATGCTAATGCACCTTTGGAATACGAGTAACTGCCACCAACATCCCTCACATTACCAGCATAAATCAGTGCATCATCGCCCGCCCATATGAACTGCTCGTGTCCGATCTGTTGCTCCACGTAGTCCGGTTCTGGAAGCCTGCGATGTCATTGCTGATGTTATAAACAAAGAGGCCACAGATCACTGAGAAAAGGTATATGAATATATGAAATCACAAAAAAGGTGATGGCTCACAAGCCAGTACGACGCAGGATAGATATTGAACTGCCAGTAATGCCAGATCACGGTAGAGATTTTTACGCCCGACCGCTCAAAATCGTCAACTGCATTCCCCAACTGGCTCTTTTCCGATCCCGCAGTAAGATTTTTCAACCACAACATCTCGCAGTTCACCATCCGCGTGTGACGCATCAGCTCCCCGCTGTGCAGTAGCGACATCCTTCATCTCGGCCTTGATCGACTGTGCAACTTCACTCGTAGAATACGCCTCGACAAGCTGCGCAAGTTTGGGAGTTGAGGTGCTGTTACCAGATGGTGAGCTTCGGACAGCTTCCAGGAGCTCCGAGGTCTTGCGTTTGATGAGGATGTGAAAGAGATGCCATGTGTTTGGAGCTCAGTTTATTCCTCCACCGCAGTGGAAGGACGACCTTCTGATCGTACAGATGATACACCAACGGCACACTCCTCATGTAAAAGGTTGTTGAGCATCATTAAAAGGGGAGTCCGGGCTTCGTGGTCCAAGTCCAGCATGCACTGTTATGTCGACTATGACAGAGGTCAGTCGCGCAGTACCGTAGAATCATAACACTACTCACTGAGATATTAAACCCTGGTGGACATGGCTGGTCGATGCTAGCGAAGTATTCTTGGCATTAGGCAAAGTCTCCAGAATACACCATTTTCCCATGAGCCAGGAGGACAAGACGATCAAACAAGGCGACAATGTTACTGCGAGGCTGATGAATGGTGAAGATAACGGTCCGATTGCAAACGCCCCAGGAATTTTGTCGAGGATAATGCGGTTGCCAAGAAAGTAAGATATATTCGAAAAATGGAGGGATGCGGGGACATGGTCTGCCATGAACTTCGAAGCTTCGTTTTCCGGCAGCCTGATTTTTCCAAGTCACCACCGTTGCGTAATCGACTGACGGACCAAAGAATTGCAACAAGTCAGGACAACAATCAAACCTGCACCGGCAGAGCTCAGGGCAATCCATTTGATGTTGTCGGGTTTGGGTATGGGCTATGAGATTGTGAGGACACGAACGCGTCAATTCAATCACTCTACGTACATGGAACCCTGGAACTTGAGTGTTCGTGTCGTATACTGGTTGAGCCTCAGAAGAGCACGTGTCCAGCGCACAATAAAAGGATTCTTGTTGTGCGGATAACAAAAGGAACGAGACCTCTAATTCAGGATATTCAGCGTGTTGAGTCCTTCTTCTGATCCGAGTACAGCCAGCAACTTAATCTTTGATACTGTCAAACTGTAAGTAGTGCTTCACTGTCATGTAACGTAACGCTCTTACTAGCAACTCCCCAGTCTATGATCATGACAAGGGCAGCACATGCAGTACCACCGGTGGCAACCAAAGGATTGAGAATGAAACATGTGTCTATCGGAGGGACTGGAGGGAGCTTCGAATAGTCTGCGACAGTAATCAGCCCACATGTCATACGGGAAATTGACTTCGAATCTCACATTCGACTGGTTGAAGGCTGACCTTCTCTCGGTAGAGTCCAAGATGGTAGACTGCTGCTGTCCTACATGGTATGTCCACTGATACATCAGAAGGTACAATGAAGTGGTATATCCGATCACATACCGGAAAAGGATAGCGATTATTTGCGCTAGCGTTGCTCCTGAATGCGAGTGTCGAGCCCTGGATGAAACTGCATTTGAAGAAAAGGGGTAAGTTGAGGAACGTACAAAAGGACTGAAAACGTACGTGAAAACCTCTGGACCTTGGTATTAGCCAGTGCCAAGGTCAAGATATAGGAATCCACCTCAGGTGCGAAGGGCCACCGGTCAAAGGCGCCGACAACAGCAGCCCAGTCCGATGCTCTTCATCATGTCAGTCCTCTGATCAGGTGGAACGTCATCGCCCGCGAGGTAGGACCTCAAAGTATCTGATCCAGGTGCTAGATGACTAAAGGAAGGTCAATGATTTTTTTCACGATTCAAAGTGAACTCTGATCATACCCAACAGCGTCCTGTAGACGTCAGGACAAAGAGTTTCCGTAGGCAGTAATCCCATTTGTCCAGCATACCTAGCTGAATGATCTGCACATGACGTCAGTAATTTAAATATGCAGTAAAACTGACAGGTACCTGATGCTCTAATGGTCTGAATGTACCCGCTATGAATGGTGTACCTCTGCGCCTGTTTTCAGTCTTTAAAGAATATGCAGGGTTCGTAGCATCAGGATAGAAATGGCTATTATATGGTACCAACAACCGTGGGTCAATGGTGTGATTGAACTCAGAAACGGCTTGTGCGATGACGCTCAGCTTGCACCGAGCCCGATGCTCAGGAGATGCGGAAATACGCTATCGTGTGTCAGATAGGGATAGTTAGTCTGTGGAATAAGATCACCTACATCCCATACCCAGTCGTGCATTAGATAACTCATTGAAATGCGACCGTATTTGAACAGCCAGGATTGTTCTGGTGTGCAGCGTAATAGTCGTGCTGAGAGCTAGCTGCTCGCCCAGGACATCCATAGGAAGGTGCGAGATAAAGTGTAGATATGGATTTGACTGATTCCATGAAATATTCTCCACGTCGTCCAGGAAGCCTTGAACATCTAGCTGATGATACGTACCCCACAAGAAACCCTTCATTGGCAAAACCTGTACTCTAGGGTCCGCTTCCTGCAGCGGCTGTTGAAGACTATTAGCATGAGGTTGTTGAGTCCGGTGACTGCAGCTGTAATGGGAGGGAGCACGGGAGCGGGTGTGGGCACCGGCGTGGTGGGGAGGCCTTCATTAGATCGTCAGTATTGTTTCGTGTGGATTATGCAATCGCATCAGAGGGCCTGCGGTATAGTCGATATAATAATATGGATGATTATCGGCCTGCGATTGTCCTCAGGCCAGCCTGACATTGTGATCAGTGAGGCGAGCAAAAGATATAAGACGTACATCTTCAAATAAAGATATTTCCCGCCTTCTGCCCTTGAACACGTGAAGGTTATCGATTATACTAATGTCTTTGCCAATTCTCCCATCCGTAAAATCCCATTGGTGAGAAGGGTTTGCCATTGGCACGGTGCTGTGGTGGTTGAAGTTGGGGATTATTGGTCCGCCATATGACAGGTACATTGAAATGTGAACTAGAATGAAAATCAGCTCTCACTGTAACCCTGAGAGCACAGTCAACCATGATAATCAAAAGATGCACTACTATGGCAAGGACTAGTATGGAGGATGGCAGATTTGTTGGAGTCCGCTTCCGAGTGACTGCTTTGAATTTCAATCCGGAATCTTCCGATGGTATTGCAAAATGCCCAGTACTAGTAGTACCGTATGTACTACTCAGCGCTTCGCTACTAATAACTAGTTATGGCGATACTATACTATATAACTTGAATGTGACACACGAAGAATGAAGTGATGGTATATTTAAGTTATTTGAGAGCGTTAGTGAGCATGAAAATTTTCTTTGTTGTCAGAGGCTCGTGCCCTGTTTTTCCCTTTCGCCTTGCTTCTCGCCTTCGCACGCCCATCCTTCATGTGAGCTTTAGAAATAAAAGTGTGAAATGTGAATGCGGCGCCCTCCGACATACCAACCTTTTCCACATAAAACCTACTATTGAAATGTGTTGCGGTGGGCAGATAAAATATGCCATGCTCCTTCAGCGTTTTCACATATTGCGGCAAGTTCATATCAGGGTAGCGAGAATGGATGTTCGCAAGGACTTCATTGATGCCTTGCGGTGGTTCCTCATCACCGGTGTCCTCGTCACTCTCCAAGTAGAGTGCATATGTCCTCTTGAGGGGTCGAGGAGCCATGGAGCTGTCACGTTGTTGTGAGGAAAGTACGCCATTAGTAGACTCGGAAGCCCATGTGTCGTTGATTGCAGATGGGATGTGAACGTGATTATGAATTATGGGCGATATGAGCTCCGTTGGCACATGCTGAAGGGACGCAGCTCCTTCCTTACGTGACATACGAAAAGCTTCATCGTCAAAACTTTGGGATGTGCTGGGTAGATGGTTCTGCTCACCTGCAGAACGCGTAGTACTTGCATGTTGCTTTGTTGTTCCTTTTAACACAGGCATCTGCTGCAACAAGGTACTTTCATATCGTGCGAGCAACTTATAATTAGTAGGGCACGTACAGTATTTACGACTTCAATTGCAACTTTTTTCTTTTGTCGTCCGGAGAGTTGTTCCGCCCTCGCAGCTTTGAAGGCGCTCTTGATATCTTGGGATGTCAAAAGTCTATGCGGCGGGTCCGTACGGCGGGCAGTAGATAAGCGCCAGCCCAAATGTTCATAGGTCTTCGGGAGATTCATCGCGGCCCTCATAGAATCGAACATATCTAGGGGACTAAGGTCTGACTCAGCGTAAAAATGGTCGACGTAGGTCGTAGTTTTGTTTGTATCGGTGGTGTTCAAAGGAATCCGAAATTCGACTAGTAGTAAGTTGATGTGAGTATTCGAAGTCACCGTTGAGAACGACTGGACAAATACCTTTCTCAAGGGGCTCCTGGTTTGTCAGTTGCCCTTCCGGCGCCTGTTCTTTACGTGCACCAAGGGGATACGCAGTGGTTTGAATACGAGAGAGCTGGCGAGCAGAGCGCCGGCGAGCAGAATCGACATGATCATTGTGAGTACGAGTGATGGGAGACATCGCGCACTAAGGATGGTCAATGTAGACTGTGATTTTGCCCACCTGACCTTTATATCAAAGTTCGTCAGTATCATTACAGTTCAATGGAAAGTTAGAAATTTCACCAAATGAGTCGAGACGCATGATTGCCTGAAATGACCTAGCGCCTTGTCGATCACTCGATTTCCGTGTTTGGTACTAGACGATGACTACGGAGCTGCTAAAACTTCAAAGCTTCAACTGCCGGAATAGTACGTACTCACTTAATAAACACCCTGCAGTCACCGAACCGAATACCCTAGTAATTCCTAAAAACAAATCTGTGATCATGAGACTACAAGTACAATATGACTACCATGGCACTGTCACCGTATGCAGTAAGAATTGGGGGAACAACTTGAACTTGAAGATATTAAGACGTAACGAGTGAAGCTCGAGTCAAACCAGAATTGCTAGTTAAATGTGCGATAAGGATAGCAATCACCTCGGCGTCCATGTTGTCGAACATCTTCAGGTAATTGGTGTTTTTATGGATACACTCTTCCGGCAAAAACCTGCTTTCCACAAAGTAACCTGTCTCGTATTGGTGCAGTACCCACTCACAGACCACAGCGGCCATTGCGAGTATTGGTCCGTACTTGCCATTGGAGATGTACCTGTGATAGCGATGGGGGCTGTCACATAATAAGTATCGAGCCATTCGGATGATGGCTGGGCTAGCGAATGCGATGGTGCCAAGGTCAGCTCCATCGACCTCAAAGGACATATCAGCGTGTTGATTTAGTGGGCCAGACTCGTATTAGACTTACAGAGAACAGTTTACCGTAAAGGAATACACCGTCTTTCAGCAGACCTTGGATATGATTGGCGCGTTGGTCGATGTCTGCCTTCGTAACCGGCACAGCCATGTCACCAAAGTCGAGTCCGTAACACTGATACGTGAAAATGCGTGCCACTCCACATATCTCCTCCGATACCTCATCGATCACGGATCCCATCTTTTCGTCAACGTAATTCTTGTCATTCATCATCTCCATGGCCCAGTCCTGGTCGGTTCCTGTTTCCAATCAATCTCATATCTTATTCGGAGCTTTGGAAAAGACTTACCTTGGAGTCCATTGGCCACAGCTTGCCATGAAGAATCCACCGTTGCACTAAGGGAACCGATCGGGGGCAATATTGAGCTATCGAAAACGGTCGTTCTCATTCCACCTCGAAGACATTCCAACACCTTTCTGGTCCCTGATCCGGGGACGATCTTTACAGATTCGTCAACCTCAGATGATTGCAGGGACGAGCTTTGGGCGGTGGCAGGGGGTGCGCCGGCTTGACGTTTCCTGGCAAGCTGGGCTCGCTCCATGCCGACAAGTTTAGCGGTCTTGAAGATTGCACGAGCGGGGCCAGCTTTACCGCGTTGGAAACTGAGCTTTGCGTGATGGGTGATGTCGTCGAGATTATAAGAAGAGGGAGGCTCGAGGGTAACGCTAGACTGGGATGATGATATGTTCGATTGTTCTAGGCTTAACGTTGGTACCGTGGTCTCGGCCTGTTGACTGGACCCGGCGTGCTCAGGGTAGTTTTGATGCATGGAAGCACCTTCTGCATGCCAGTGCGTAGCCGGTGGGGGGTGTGGAGACTGCGATGTTGGCCAGGCAGTATAGAAAATCGAAGGAATGCCATGACGGGGTACAGGATGCGCTATCTCTAGTACATGATGGCTGCCCTGGGCCTGCTAGCGGATTGCGATGAGCAAGACTCGAGTTTCGGCATAGATCACTTACTGAGTCTGGGCCTGCGGCCGCCACATTGTGACCAGGGTGAAGTAAAAATGAGCGATGGATTACCTGATCGTGACGATGATCAGGATAGATTGGTAATCCCATCAGAGGGTCTGCGGTATAGTCGATATGATGATGTGGATGATTATCGTGGTGAACGGCCTGCGATTGCTCATCGTTCTCAGGCCAGCCTGACATTGTGATCAGTGAGGCGAGCAAAAGATATAAGACGTACATCTTCAAATAAAGATATTTCCCGCCTTCTGCCCTTGAACACGTGAAGATTATCGATTGAGTAAAATCACATCCGTCGAAAGCTACTGGAATGCAAGGCAGAAATGTTTGATAAGCCGTTCTACAAACATGGTAAACATTGGTTAACCAGCTGATTAGGTAACAGATGAAATAGTTGTTCGCGTTACTTTCGCGCATTACTAATACTTACTAAGGTCGAAAATTTTACCTCTTGGAACGTTAAGTGCTAGTATAGGAACTTTATTCTTAAAGTTCGGTTGTTATTACAACTCCAACTTGGTAGATGGGCCTTCAAAACCTGATGCTGGCAGCATCGTGGCGCGTTTGCTTAGTAACATTCGCTCCGATAGTTGTTGCTGCGCGTCACGGTTATTGTCCGGAAGGAGATGGACTAAAGGTGCCGAAGCACGCTTCGTCGTGCACCTTTATGCTTAATTTTCTCCTTAGTTCACGAGTACTTTGCTTGGCCCGTGGCGAAATGTGATTCGACGCGGAAAGGACACAACCAACGACTCCGAGTCGGGGGACGCTCAAACACCTCACCGTGAGCTGTTGGCATTAACTTCTGCAGCTGTCGCCGAGTGACTGACTTGCCAGTAGTCGTTCCATGTCAGCACTTCGTTGGACTCGATGTCCTCGATGTTGCAGTCTCGAACGTGTCATTTTGAACTTCGCAGTTGCGACCAGGTATTCCTGACGGCGTACACTCGAATCATCGCCGTTTTTCTAAGGCCCATTGAGTTATAGCCTATGCTCTAGTACGCCACCACTTCAGTTTCACTGTTCCTTGCACTAACCCCCAAAAAGGCTTCCGATACGACCGATAAATTATTCTGCGTGTTTCCTCGGGTGCGAAGAACATTTTCTGGATTACCAAATAAGGCAATAGTCCCGCTGCTTATTCGAGACCAATTCATTCAACTTCTCCGCTTTATATTAGGTCATTGAAATTATTCGTGCCAGAACTTAGTTGTGACTGGACCACCACAAAAGGTTACGACACAGCCTGTCATTTCGCGTTTCCGTGAGGAGCACTTCCAGGGTTACCAAGTAAGGGAAACGTTCCACTGCTTATTCGAGATAAATTCATTCAAGGTCTTCAGCTTAGATTAGGTCATCGGCGTACCAGTAGACTGCGAGTATATAAGACACCCTCGCAGGAGCTTTCACCCTTCGTTCACTTCCCACACCATTTCCTCACTTCTCTCCTTTCCCAAAAATATTCCTCTTGCTCTCTGACATGCCAATGGCAGAGAACGACTGCGAGGGTGATCTTTCTCCTCCTGCCCCAGTGGCATCGCTCTGTGTCTCAACGTCTCCTCAAGCTCGGGCAAAGCGAAAAATTGCCGCCCTCATGGAGGAGGTCGAAAACTTGAAGCAAGACAAAGCTACAAAGCAAAGGTGTGCACGTTCTTGAACTCTCAAAGCGATTTTAATACTTCTGATCGAAGGAAAACGACCTACTATGTTTCGCAGGGACGAGCCCTTCATAGGATGGTTGTCCTTTACACTCCAATAGAGGATCTGGTTGCCGAGAATGACCGGCGTTGCGAAGAAATTGACGGCGATAACACGATTGAGTAACCATCTATATTCATGTTTCCATTTTTTTTCTAACGATGAACAGGCATAACCGCCTTCAACGCGGATATATCGAACTTGCTAAGGTATTGCCGTGGTTTCATGAGAAACTGGCAGATCTTGATTTCGAGGAGTCGGCAGATATGCTTCGCAAGGTGTCTTTCAGCATATTTGTCACGCTGCTTTGCTAATTGTTAATGTAGCTCAAGCGAGGCGCGGATTCAGCTCGTGGTGATGACATGGGCACTCTGAAAGAGCTCGTGGCCTCATGGGTCAATATCGAGTGTCGTCCGGCTTCGCTCATCAGACCAGATGACAAACACCATCGAGGATTTGTGAACGATGCATGCGGTAGACTACTCTGCCCAGCAGAATGGCGCTGGGAGGACCCAATGTAAGGATAGTCCTCGTCACTCAGATGTTACTGATGTGTTATCTAGCGTCAAGGCTGGCATTCGTGATCGTACAACTACTTTCATCGTCTCTGAAAACTCATGGCCGTCATTTATGTATGAAAATTATGAAGCTGACGTTCAGAATCTGGAGCATGGCCTTTTCAAGTCTAGGCTATTGCTTATGGTGAGTCGCAAATATTTTTTTCCGACTGATTTCTCATAGCTCATTGCATTTCAGGGCTTCAAAGCCATCTTCACTTCTCCTTCCTCTGCAAATGAAGTGGATGGCGATGGCGATGGCGCTGATATCCTCGAGAACAACCGGCGCACTCGGAGACGTTCAGATCACGCCAGAGTCAAGACTTGTGTCGCCTCCATCATTGGTATGAGGAAGGCAACTCCGCGCGCAATCGCGTATACAGCTTGCCAAGTAAGTATCAATGCTTCGCTCTTACCATGAAGTTGAAATTCAATTCTCTAGATCCGATTCGCGCTTTCTAATATCACCTCCTGGCGTACCGTAGATGGAGACTTCGACTATCAAATGTTTTGGAACAATATCGTAGACTTTTTTGAGGATCCCCCAGGTCCAGCTGCGCTAACGAGGGTGAACAAGCTTCTTGACTGGTGGACCAGGTAAGTCGTCGACCTTAACAGTGACTCCTCTGGATCACTAACTTCCTGTGTAGAAAAGTTTTCGGAAGAAATCATCGGCAGGACCTAACGCCGGATGTTGTCAAGAACATGTCTGTTAATAGTCTTGCTGCTCAGAGACAGCAGATGGAGGATGCCTCATTCGACTCCGACTAGTTACTTGCCATTTTTGTTTGCTCGTCCCATTCTACTCACTACATTGCCTTTGCTTTGATCACTATATCCTCTTTACCCCGCTGCATCATGTCAATCCTACATTATACCCTCAGTCACTAATGCCATCGTGATGTTAATGTTTCCTGATTTGCGTGTGAGATAAATTTGATGTGCTTATTTTCTAATATATGTAGTGTGTGACAGCGCACGACACAGCGATACAAGGCTGGCAATTTTAATATGAACGATCAGAATTTGCCAGTGGTCAGACTACGATGGTCCTGTAGCAATAGAACAAGATAAATATGATAAGGCTGATACTCTGAGATCCGAAAACGACTCTCCAACGTCCTAATAACTTTGCGGCTTGTTGGACTGTTAATTTAAAATGTCAATGATCCATCCAACGAAACATTATCGATAGCACACTGTTTCATAATCTCGAGCTGAGATGTCAGGTAACACAACGCTGACTTTCCTTATTCTCAAGTCCCTAGGAGGGTAATCTTCCCTGGCTGAAAGAAATTTGCCGTCTCCGTCCATGATAATAGTCTAGTATCTGTTGCGACAACCGAGTATCAGTGCAGTAAAACCTAAGTTCACAAGATCATCAGAAATTTTGGGCTTGGGAAGCCGGACGGAGCATGATCGCGAAGGTATGAAAGATTGGACAAACTAAAACTTAAGAGACTGTGATGTCGCTCAGTAGTTCAAAAGATCATCGGAATTTTGGGGCTTGGGAGGCCGGACGGAGCGTGATTGTGAAGGCGTGAAAAATTGCGCGAACTAAAACTTGAGACACTGTGATGTTGCTCAGTAGTTCAGAAGATCATCGGAAATTTGAGGCTTGTGAGGCTGGACGGAGCGTGATTGCGAAGGCATGAAAAATTGCGCGAACTAAAACTTGAGACACTGTGATGTTGCTTAGTAGTTCAGAAGATCATCGGAAATTTGGGGCTTGTGAGGCTGGACGGAGCGTGATTGCGAAGGCATGAAAAATTGCGCGAACTAAAACTTGAGACACTGTGATGTTGCTCAGTAGTTCAGAAGATCATCGGAAATTTGGGGCTTGTGAGGCTGGACGGAGCGTGATTGCGAAGGCATGAAAAATTGCGCGAACTAAAACTTGAGACACTGTGATGTTGCTCAGTAGTTCAGAAGATCGTCAGAAATTTGGGGCTTGGGAGGCCTAAAGGCGTGTGATTGTGAAGGCGCCAAAGATTGCGCGAATTACAGTTTAGCACTGCCACTGTGAATGCCTGTAGCGCCACACCAAGGTTCGAATCATCGACAAACATGGTCTTTCAGCGACAGACTGGGAAATCTATGCATTGAGAAGTCGTATGTACTCTCACGTACCTCGGAACTGTATTTGCGCTCCGTATAATGCATGGTTCTGTGCAACAGTTTACCAACAAACATTTTGCGTGCGCGACTCCGGTCCTTCTATCTCATTGCAACTCGGCGTCCATCGAGCAGTGATACCTACTTTAATACAACTCAGGACATTATCACTATTCTATGCAATATACCACTCAAAGCGACACTCGTCGAACATTCGGTCGATACAGACAAACTATTCGTTGAGAATTAATGTCTACTGTTACTCACACTTTTTACCAGAGCAAGTTACTCGCCCATTCGGTAGTCATCCGCAGCGAGCGAAAATATATTGTGCAAAGGCCAAATGACACCGTTCTCTTCACTTATGAGCATCGCCCGAGTGTCTCGTAGTTCTGCACGCTGCAACCTCCTTCCTTGTCCTTCTCAAACCAGGCTCATATTCCAATGCATGAACCTGTGCGAGCACATTGTCTCCTAGACCCGTGCCAGTGAAAAAGTCCTCGAGGCAAATAGGGCTACCAGGCCCGTGTACTTGCAAATTGGTCTTTCCTCGACAATGCCAAACATTCCCATGTGAAAGCGGTTGGCAAATTTACGCTGATTGTTGCGATGCTTAACAATATATTACTTTAAATATCATTCTCATTTGTTCACAGGTTCTCTGATGACAGTAGTCCGGAAGAACGTATTTCTCACCAGATGAAGGATGCTCCAATACGAGCCTGATCACTTCCTTCCTCGTCAAAGAGTCTGGATCGGCTACCATGACAGCCTTGCTTCATATTACACCAGCAATTTCAAATTCCTGACCAGACATCGAAGTTGATGGGGTACCGACTCGGGCCCACTCTTGAAGGCTTATTAGCGCTCAACTCATCTCCGTCCGATTCTCATGGAGCATGTGATAGAAGCCTTATATGTAAAAGGTGCGCAAGAGGTACGCTGCGCCAGGTTACGCCCAATCATAACGTTCATGTCTATCTCAAAAGGTATTGCATTAATAACAGGGTCTGCTCAGGGAATCGGTCGCGGCATCGCTCTTCGGCTTGCACGGGATGGCTTTAACGTCGCCCTCAATGATCTACCCAACAAGGATGCTAAGCTGGAGGCGGTAGCGACTGAAATCGAAAGTCTTGGGAGACAAGTCTGCGTCGTTCCCGCCGACGTGACTGTCGACAAACAAGTCAAAGGGATGGTCGATGACGCCGTTACAAGACTTGGTGGTCTGGACGTCGTCAGTCGCTCGTCTTATCTCACTAGACATGTTTCATGGATATTTATCGTGTAGATGGTTGCGAATGCTGGAGTGGTGGAGTTTGCCTCGCTTGTGTCATGTACGATTATCTCGGTCAAAGTCTACGATTGACGGTTTCTCATGTCCTCCGCTAGCGACTGTAGAGTCATGGGACCGCACACTCTCAGTAAACGCCCGTGGAGCTTATCTATGTTACAAGTATGCTGCAATACAGATGATCGAACAGGGACGTGGCGGTCGAATCATTGGTGCGAGCTCAATCGCGGGCAAAATGGGTGCGTCATATAGACATGAATTTGCTTGAGCATTCTTATCCAGATGACCAAATAGGCTTCGCCCACAACTCCTCATATACAGCGAGTAAATTTGCGATTCGAGGGCTCACTCAAGCTGCAGGTAATTCCTGAGATAGTCGCATGTACAGCTTCTAATAAATACCGCTTGACAGCTGTTGAACTTGGCCAATATGGGATTACTGTCAATGCATATGCTCCGGGCCCGATACAGACTAATATGAGTAAGGTCGAACTAATTTTCGATTTCTCAGCTCTGATTCCTAGTTAGTCGAGATCATGCTGGATGAGTCTGGGAACGTAAATTATGAACAACTTATCGACAATCCTAGCTCGAGGAAGTGGTATATGTCGGTGAGCAGAGCGCGGTGTCAAACATTATCCAGATACTGAACACCTGCTTTCTTCACAACCTCGATAAGTTAGTCGAGAATGTCCCCATCAAGCACATCGGACAGCCTGAAGATATAGCTAGCATCGTAAGCTATCTCGCATCGAAGGAAGCGCACTTCATGACCGGTCAGTTCATGCCTTTGTTGCGCCTATCTCCTGCTCATGTAGCATGTGATGTCTCCAGGTCAATGTGTAGGTCGATTTGTTTTATTGCATACAGCTGATCTGAGCTTTCTCCTAGATTTCTGTCGATGGGGGAATGAGGATGGGCTGAGAAGGCCTTGTAAACAGTTGCTATGTTACTACTCCCTGTAGATGCTATGGTGTGATTCCAATATCGAATTGAGGATTTATTCCCTGACTGATCAGTGGTGGTGCTGATCGAATTACTGGGAAGGTCTTAAGCTTGAGGATCAGAACACTTCGAGTATGACGTTAGCAAAGACTTCGAGTCAGAGTCCATATAAACATACATCTAGTCGGTGCTCAATTACCGTCGTCCATTCAGACCTCTGGCTTAGACAGAACGTGTAACTCAGAAGAGTGGGTGCCCACTTAGCTATTGTCAGTCTGCTTTTCGGATTTCCCATTGCCCTCGACAAATCTCCGTGAACTTGTTGGATTTCACCGCCGTTCCTGCAATCTTTTCGTCACGATTTTCATCATCGAATGTGACCTCGGACCTGGGACTCGGAAAGATCTTAGCATTCGTATGGAACAACCAGGAGACCTGTGCAAACCCTATATCATATGCCTCACGCGTACAGACCTAACATGGCCGTAGAGCTGCATGACTGACTATACAAGGCCAATGTTGTATAACTCGTGTTCAAGCGTGCCATCTTTGCTCTGCAGCGCAGGCCTGGCCGCCTGAGCTTCGTTGGGGCAACGTGGTGGATTCGGGATTCCGCAGTAGTATTCCTGAAAATTCAAAAGGTTTTCATATTCGGATCGTTGCAAGTCTAGTTCTTACCTTCTCCCTTCAAGATTTAAGGAATGAGTAATGAGTATGTTTTATTGAGTCTATAATCAGTATATCTAGTGTGCTGCGGCATAATCTCAGGAAGGTGATCAGCGCGAGATGAGAACTCGGAAGAACTACAATGTACACACAAATCAGTCATTTCGATCCCCACGCCACACAGGGTGCGCAGTATTCGAGAAGGGCAGAAAGTTGATGCCGGTCAGCCTTACGCAGTCAGTTGTACAACCTCAAAGTGCAAGTAGATCGAGTGTCGGGGTTATTACCTTGTAGGTGACATATCTACGCATCTGTAGATGGGAACCATATTGAAAGGTCTGCGTGACAAATTTCTGCATACATAACTTACGTAGCAGGAGGGAGTCCCTTTTCAATATTCCTGTTGCTTTTATCATTGATTCATGTGAGGGTATAGATATTACGTGTATTGTCCTATATAAACGAGTCGATGCTTGTTCGATTTAGCACCGGAAATAATGTCAATCACGAAAAAGTACTCACGAGCAACTACAGCGGCTCATGCGCTTTCGCTGACCCACCAGATCCCCTTCACTTTCCAAACTATCCAGAGTGCTAGAAAAGAGCCAACAATATACATTATTATCCGCATCTGTCTAACACCGCCTGCGCCGGAGAGACCGAATGCTTGCGCAGCTCGTCGAGAGGACTGAGACAAGGATGTTGAAAGGCTAGAGAAAGCGTTTCCCTACGTGCAAATATTAATATGTTTCAAAGTGAAGAGGAGAATCACTAAGGTACTGTATCATCTAGAGCCAGATGTTGTCTTTCGGCATCATCGTAGATGTCTGTGGTGACCTGGAAGACCGTTCAGAGGTATGTAGAAATGAAGTAATATCAATCATACTCCGCGCAGTGTTCGTATCTTTGAATGCAACTCATCTAGTCGCTGATCATTCTGTGCTTCGTAGGTCTCTTCTGTGGTTCGTGACGAAGACATGGAAGGATTAATGTGAGAGGCAGCTAATTTGTTATGGCAAGGGGGGTCTACCGTTTTTAAAACTCCGCTCGCCGCTAGCGGTCCATTGGACCCGAGAAACAGTCTGGACGCGTTGTGAGACGGCTCTTTCCTTCCTTGCCAGGTACAACCCGCCCAGCAGGCCGGGAGCAACATCCGCATAGACCTCGTCTACAGTTTCACAGGATACTCCGGCATTTCTTTGACGGGTACTGATGCGGCATTGCCTCTCGGACAGATAGTTGGGGTGGCCTTTAAACGCATCGACGACGAACTTGTTACCTCTTTAAGAACCGACCTGACAATCATCGTCGGCGCCCCATTCAGAAGCTGGTTGACGAACTCACCAAGTTCATGGCTAGGGAGCCGTAGTGGTGGGTACACAATTTTTCAGGAAGCTTCTTCGAGTGGTGAGCGATTGAATTCGTGGAGGACCAACGGCAAGGGTTGGACTGGGCTAGTAGCAATAGGGGGTCAACTCGATGTAGCGTGGTGTACGCAATCATTCCATGCAGGCGGTGGCTCTGTCGGATAAGCAGGCAGCCTGCGCCCTTGCAGACTGCAGTTGATGCAGGCGAGGTATATATTCCATTGGCCACTACAACATAGTACCAGGTATCATTCGTTCACATCATCCACTATCACTTGAATATCCGATGAAGAAGCTGGATTGTGCTGGACCTCTTCCAATTCTTGTCATCATGTTCAGCGAATCGGTCGTCCGGACTCATCGCGAGGCGAGCCACTGGATTTGTCTGCTAATTGAATTACGTGAGTAGTTCTTTATCATTTTGGCACACTCTACACACGTTGAACGTTGATTGTGGGTGCACAACAACGACGGTTCGGCCTGTTTTCGAAGCTAGAATAACAACTACAATTCTCGCAGGGTTTGGTGACTGGTCGCAACGGACACAACAGCAACTGGCCTATTTTCGAAACAGGGATAACAGAAACTACGATTCTTGCAGAGTTTTGTGACTGGTCATCACGGACGCAATAGCAATTGGCCTGTTAAAGTAGGAGTAACAATAGCTGAAATTCTCGGTGACTAAAACTTTTCAGACAATGTTCACCTTTATCGAAGCCTCATCCGCCACCGTCGGAGTCTCTGACCAAACTTTTGGTCGTGACTTACAACCCGGAACAGCTTGAAACCACTGGTAGCATACAAGTTACCGCATCGACTCAGAAGCACACTCAACGGCGCCGACATTCAAGCCTCCATCAACTGATGCCGTGATCATTGTCGTGATTTGTCGCCGCAATTGGCTTCTACGGCAAAAGATATTCCAAGAGTAGTTAGTGTCTTCCACCTTCCGAGCGATACGAAAGGAGCTAGGATTCCTGTGATATATAATCTGATGGTACCACTTTTTTCGATGTAGCAAGCTCATAACCTTCTACCATAACCATGTCGCCTCACAAAGGGATCGCGCTCATCACAGGATCTGCTCAGGGCATTGGTCGCAGTATCGCTCTGCGGCTTGCGAGGGATGGCTTCGACATTGCCTTGAACGACATTCCTATGAAAAGTGAGCAGCTGGCTGCTGTTGCTAGTGAAGTCGAGGCATTGGGACGCAAAGCGTGTATCGTGATTGCGGATGTGACAATCGAAGAGGAAGTGAAGAACATGATCACTGACACCGTAAAAGAGTTGAGCGGATTGGATGTGGTAGGACCCTGAGCTTCCATTTCTGGAAGCTTGCTTATGATGCTTTTATAGATGGTCGCCAACGCTGGCATTCCAGGAGCCAATACTGTCTTGGAAAGTAAGCTCAGAGGTTCTATTCGAGTATGCGCTGCAATCTCTTATATGGTGTAGCCACTGTTGAAGACTGGGAACGCACGTTCACCGTTAACGCCCGCGGAGTCTTCCTGTGCTATAAACATGCCGCAGTACAGATGATATCTCAGGGTCGCGGTGGCAGGATCATTGGCGCAAGTTCAATTGCCGGAAAGATTGGTGACTGCTATTCCGTGTTGTGTTGTGTTGAGCTCGAAGGGCTGACATGAGCGCTGTCTGCAGGATTTCCATCAGCTGCTGCATACTGCGCTAGCAAGTTCGCTGTCCGCGGATTGACGCAGACTGCTGGTGAGCAGAAACATCTTTGAGTGTGAATGATCACTAAACCTGGCCAAGCTCTTGAGCTTGGAAAACATAATATCACAGTCAACGCCTATGCGCCGGGTGTCATACAAACCCAGATACGTACGTTCCACGTGAACATAGTATGTAGCTTGAAGCTGATCACTTTCGCGAACTTAGTGGATAGTATTTCTGACCAATCTGGAAATGTCAGCCTGGCAGACGAAGATTCGACGAATTACCTTACTCAGGTCTGTTTGTGTTCCCTTCATGCTCGCGTGTATCTGTACCGTCAGCTCATATCGTGCAGCTAATTGGGAACCGGCCGATCAAACATAATGGTCAACCAGAGGATATCGCAAGCATTGTCAGTTATTTGGCATCGAAAGAGGCGCATTTCATTACAGGTGAGCTCTTATTTTGTCGTTCATTCCCTGCAGCTTGTTTAACGCTGCGACAGGGCAATGCGTAAGTGTACAGTGCCGGTCACCTAACTTTCAAGGTATTCACTACACTGCAGATTTCTGTCGACGGAGGCGTCGTTCTATCTTAGCGAGTCAGACATCTTCCGAACACAATGCACTAAAAGAAGAAACAAATGTATCTTCAAGAGGTAACGCCGAACATGACGGACTAGAGTTACTCCTGTTTGATTCAAATGAATGAATGAATTTATATTTGGCCGTCTACGCTCACAAGTAAACAAGTCTGAGTATCACGAGTTCCTGCTGATATGTCGCAGCACGTTCGTGTTTTGCAAGTCCGCACGTCAAAGACCCAGGAGCCAGTGTTCCTAGACTGATATCTGGAAGTAGACCGGAGGCCCTTCCTTCCTCATTCCAAGGCTTTCAAGTTAAGCAAGAGTTCTAAATGCTGCGTAAAGTCAGTCAGTAATCAACCCAAATAATTGAGACTCGACGCATAGTTTCTGCTCCAGACATTCCATACTTCTGGATCAGGGTTTGACAGTCCTAGAACTTCCTTCTGACGATAAAGTGGGAGTGGCCCCTGAGTCTGCTGGGATGATATAAACCAAGGGAAACCGAACAAGTGCGGACTATAAATTGATAACGAGTTCAGGGATTTTCCTTGCAGGGAAAGCCCTGTCAAAGGGCTGTCGGGAAGAGCTGCACGAAAGTAGTCTAGTTGAACCAAGACAAAGTGCTGGGTAGGCGCCCGAAGTGATGTGGTTGGTTACTATAGAGGGAAATTTGCTAAATCTCACAGATAAGCGCATTACTTGTAACTTGAAGGTCGAAGCTGAGGTTGTCTCCTCAGGTCAACCTCATGTTGCGATACCCCGTGGCAATTGCAAGTATTGTACAAGAGTCAAAACGATTGTGCCATAGGGCATGTTCAGTAGGTTAGTCAGCGGATAGCTCTTTTAAAATTTAAACTTCCGCCCAGGAGATTTAGAGTTCACGACATCGTTTTTGCAATTCAAATGAGTTTACCTACCAAGTTAAGTACTTCCTTAACTGGTCTTTTTTTTATTCTATCTACTATTCTTCCGCAATATTTGAGCCTTCGGATAATCACCCAATGATTACTTGTAGGTCATAGCACTATAGATCAAAACATACTAACATGGTACCACTGCCAGTATCTCCTTGGGAAGCCCGGTCACCGTCCCCAGTAGGCTCGGGCCTTACCCAACCATAGGCCAGCCTAAAGCCTTATGATGAGGGCTGGGCCCAATGTGACACCACTGACTGACAGTGGCGTTGAACGTTGAAGGCTTGCAACTGCGTTCTATCCCCTTCGTGCCGTGCCGTTATCCTGGTCTGCTGTTTCTGGACACCATGATAAGAACTTGAAGCATTCCAAAAGGTATTTAACATCCATAGATTATCTTGGGATTGCTCGATCAATATTCTCGATGTCTCAATCCAAAGGTGTCGCCCTCATAACCGGTTCAGCACAAGGAATCGGCCGTGCGATAGCGATCAGATTAGCCCAAGACGGCTTTGATTTAGCGCTCAATGATCTGCCCGGAAAGAAGGAAGTATTGGAAGACCTCGCAGCCGAACTTCGGCGAGGCGGAGAATCAGAGAGCTCCTACCATCCTAGAACATGCATTGTGACTTGCGATGTCAGTAAAGAAGACGAGGTGAAGAGCATGATTGATACCGCAGTCGACGCTCTAGGGAGCTTGGACGTCGTGAGTAGTCACCCGAAATGCGTAATCGTTGGACTCATGGCATACTACCGCAGATGATCGCGAATGCCGGAATTAGTGGCATGGTAGATCTCTTGAGTGGTACGTGGATCGATCATGAACCATACCTAGCATAGTACTCACTTTTCATGCAGAAACTCTAGAAGGCTGGGACCGCATGATGAAAATCAACGGCACCTCTGCATTCCTGTGCTATAAATACGCCGCAATCCAGATGGTGAAACAGGGACGTGGCGGCCGCATCATCGGTGCCAGCTCCATGGTAGGAATACAAGGTAAGAGGCTAGAATCGCCCCTTGGACCTGAACCAAGTGGCACCCGACTAGGACCCCGGAACTCACACGCGCTCATCGGCAGCGTGCGTCCAACGGCGCCTTCTCAACCATGGCCCCGTCCAACACCCTAGTCAATAATAAAGACAAAGACAAAGGCAACGGAACGCGAAACCTAAGAGACATGATAGCCTCAGGTGCCGACCAAGCCTCTGAATCCCGTCCAACCACCCCAGCAAACCCAACACAAACCACTAACAAACGAGCCCCACCTAGACTGTCCATACCAGAAATTATAGCACTTAAAAATGAAGTCACTGACGCAAAAACAGGAAAAAAATACCTAGAACGAATCGCTCTATCTCTCGCCGGAAAACCCTACAAAACCCAAAACGAAATATCTGAACTACTGCTTCACACTACTCAACTAGCGGGTGTCTCCCTTCCGGCACAAACAGCCATGCGCGCGATGGCATTTATACTGGAAGAAGGAGCAACAAATGAAATGGCGGAAACCATTGCTCGTCACGTCACAGCAGCCATTTCCCCTCACATCGCTAAGTTGCAGGAAACTGAAGAAAAGCTAACGAAAACCACAACAGACCTCAAAACCAATGCAGTAACCCAAGACACGCAACTAGAAGAAGTGAAATCATCGCTCGTCAAACTCACCACTCAAGTATCAGAAACCACGAAACCCACATACGCAGCAAAAGCAGCAGCAGGGAACCACGCAAACCCTGAAGCCCAAGCGCAACACCTCCAAAGAATGGCGCGCAAAGCCATCAAAGAATGCCAACTTCTCATCGACTTCCCTTCAAGCAGCGAGCTAGCAGCGGGAAAATCATCACACGCACAACTAGTCGAAAAGGTCAAACAAGCGATAGCAGCCCTACCCAAAGACAACGACGCACCAGAACTGGAGACTCGGTCCATCACTCAGTTCCGTCAAGGAGGCATGATCATCGAAATGACAACTAAGGAAGCCGCAGTGTACTTACGAACCAACAACGAAGCCAAGAAGAACCTCCTCCAAAACCTAGACCCGCAAGCCGCGCTCAAAGAAAGAACATACACCATCGTCGTACCCTTTATGCCTATATCATTCAAACCTGGAGACAATACTAACCTTCGACAGATAGAACGAGAAAACGGATGGAACGAAGGAACAGTGCTGACGGCACGGTGGATAAAACCAGTGGAGAAGAGAACAAACACGCAAAGAGTAGCTCACATACTAATCACGTTCACAGACCCCACATCCACCAACAATGCAATCCGAGACGGAATCGCAGTAGATCAAGCCAAACTCTGGCCAAGCAAGAACAGACGAGAACCTATGCGATGCGCCAAATGCCAGCACTACGGACACATCGCCAAGGAGTGCATCGCCCACAACGACACCTGTGCTAACTGTGGCAACAATCACCGAACGACGGATTGCACCACCAAAGACAAACAATACTGCACAGCATGCGAGACCACTGACCACTCAAGTCGAGACAGAGACTGCCCAACATTCATCAAACACTGCGAGAGCCTTGACAAGAGATACCCAGACAACCAACTACCCTACTTCCCAACGAACGACGAATGGACCCAAGTAACAGCCCCACCAAAACCGCCACCATACCAAAAACCGCCACCTCCCCCTCCGAAAAACGACCACAACCAACAACCAACTCTCACCCAACAACGTCTAGACATGTACCCTATGAGAAACCGAGGCATGAGACCATCATCGAGAGGATTCATCCCGAACCGAGCGTCCCCAAGACCATACCCAGAACCCTACTCACTCGAATTCGTCCCAGGAACATCAACTGAGGCCAACGCCTCCGGCTGGAACTAAGCCCAACATGCAGAACAACACCACGGCACGTCTACGCATATGGCAACAAAACTTAAACACCTCACCAGACGCTCAACACTGCATACTCAGCGGACCCCAAACAGCGAGAGACTGGGACATAATAGCGATTCAAGAACCAACTATCGACACAAAAGGTAACACAAGAGCAACTCCCGACTGGCATGTAGTATACCCGACGCAACGATACACCCACACCAAACGATCTCGCGCAGTCACCCTGGTACACAAGCGCATCAACACCAATAGCTGGAGGCAGCTCCCCTTCCCCTCAGCAGACGTGGTCGTCATCCAATTCTCAGGCACCTTCGGCAAACTCACTCTATTCAACATCTACAACGACGGTACGAAACAAGACACCCCCCCGACTCTACACCAATACCTCGAAGACCACATCCAACTAGTACGACCAACTGTGGAAGACCACATGATCTGGCTCGGCGACCTCAACTGTCATCATGCACTCTGGGAAGAAGAACGCAACCGTCACCTATGTGAGACACGAGAAGCCCAAACTCACGCGCAAGCATGGATCGAACTGATGGCAGAATATGGAATGTGCCAAGCCCTCCTGAAGGACCTGCCAACGCTACAATCGACAAGCTCAGGAAACTGGACGAGACCAGACAATGTCATCTGCACCGACAACACCCTCGAATCATTCACAGTATGCGATACAGCCCCTGCCCTCCGCCCTCCGAAAACCGACCATGTTCCAATCCTCAGCACACTCGACTTCGAAATCCCCAAGGCCACCACAACCACGACATACAACTACCGCGATGTAGACTGGGAGAAATTCTCTGCGACGCTCAAAACGCAACTGGGACGCATCCCTCCACCCCAACCGCTAGCAAGCAAGGACGAGTTTAACGCGGCAGCACAGAACCTCGCAAAGGCCCTGCACGACACCATAGAGGAAATCGTCCCGAAAACCAAACCCAACCCTCATGCCAAACGCTGGTGGACCAAGGAAATATCGCAGCTGATAGCGCAGAAACATGAGCTAAGTCACCTATCCTATAAATTCAGAGCAGTAAGAGATCACCCATCACACGAGGAACACCGCAAAATCCGAAACCAGGTATCAGAGACCATCCTCAAGGCAAAGAAGGAACACTGGGAACAATTCCTCGAGGAAGCGACGCAACGCGAAATATGGATAGCAAACAAATACGTCTCAAACCCAAGCACAGACGGCGGCAAGACACGAATCCCAGTCCTCCAAGTCAAGAACGCTGACGGCACCATACGCGAAGCAATCAGCAATGACGACAAGAGCGAAATACTAGCCAGAACCTTCTTCCCACCTCCGCCACCCACGAGCTCAGTACCTAAAGACTTCGAATATCCAGACCCAGCCGCACCATTTACGCCAATCACCGCGGAACACATCGAGCAAGCCATCAGCAACACCAGTCCATACAAGGCACCAGGGCCGGATGGACTATGCAACATCGTCTTCAAGCGCAGTTCAGGTCAACTAACCCCCTACCTCCTCTATATTTTCAGGGCAGTATTCACACTAAAGACATACTACGAACCGTGGAGAGACTTCACAACAGTTGTACTGCGCAAACCCGGCAAAGCTGACTACTCAGCACCCAAGGCATATCGACCCATTGCCCTCATCAACACGACGTGCAAACTCCTAACCGCAATCGTCACGCAACAGGTAACACACATATTAGAGACACACCAACTACTGCCCGCGAATCACTTCGGAGGACGCCCAGGGAGATCCACGACAGACTCAGTTCACCTACTCGAAGTAACCATCAAGGACGCCTGGAGAACGGGACGAGTGGCCTCAGTACTTTTCTTAGACATCGAAGGAGCTTTCCCCAATGCTGTCACTGACCGTCTCATACACAACATGAAGAAAAGACGCCTCCCGGATGAACTAGTATCTTTCACAGAACGCATGCTCACGGACCGACGCACGCAACTCAAATTCGACGACTTCACATCAGAATGGTTCCCCGTCACGAACGGAATTGGACAAGGAGACCCGCTGTCGATGATATGCTACCTAATCTACAACTCAGATCTAGTCGATACAGCCAAAGGGAAGATTGGCAACAAGCGAGAAGAAATGGCCCTGGCCTTTGTCGACGACACTGCGTACGTAGCCATCGCAAGAACATTCGAAGAGACCCACGAGATACTACGAGACATGCTCGAACGCGACGGAGGAGCATTCCAATGGTCGAGATACCACAATTCTAGATTCGAAACTAGCAAATTCGCACTCATGGACTTTACTCGCAGCAAAACCAAGGAACGACGACCCATCAACCTCAATGGCACAATAATTCAACCCTCCCACCACACCAGATTCCTCGGCATCATAGTCGACCAAGAGCTCACCTGGAGAGAACACGCCGCATATGCCATCGCCAAGGGAACCGAATATGTACTCCAACTTCGCCAACTCTCAAGAACCTCAATGGGAATACCGACGAAACTCATGCGACAACTATATCAAACGGTAGCTATTCCGAAATTCACCTATGGCGCTGACATCTGGTTCCGTCCACTATTCAAGCAAGGCTCACACACCATGCAACGAGGATCCAAAGGTATCGCAAAACGCCTAACATCTGTTCAACGCATCGCAGCCATCAGCATCACCGGTGCTATGAGATCCACGCCGACAGACTCACTCGAAGCACATGCCAACCTACTCCCGATCCCCCTACTCCTACAAAAGATATGCCACAGAGCCACGGTACGCTTAGCAACACTCCCTCAGACTCACCCTCTCCACAGTAAGCTCAAGTGGATCACGAACCACAATGTCCAAGCGCACAGATCATCACTACACAACCTCCTTCACTCGTTCCGAATCTTCCCCAAAGATATGGAGACCATAGACCCAACTCGACAAACGCAACTACCTGCCGATACAATCTACAAGACCCACACCGCAAAAACGAAGAAGAACGCGATCAGTGAACAGCGCAACCTGAAGGACGAAATCCAAGTATTCACCGACGGATCAGGATACAATGGAGGAATAGGAGCAGCGGCAATCTTAGTACGAGAAGGACAAGAACCACGAACACTGCGCTACCACCTAGGAACAGATGAGGAACACACCGTATACGAAGCGGAAACGCTAGGACTCACGCTGGCAGCCCAACTGATAGCGACCGAACCCAACATCGTCTACCCAATCTCAATCCTCCTCGACAACCAGGCAGCCATCAAATGCGGAACCTCAACCAGCAAAGAAGGTAGCGGATTCTTGGCCGGACACTT